CAGAACCGGCAGCGCAGAGCTCGGTGCTGCTACAGAGGCGGCCGGGTAGGGAGAGCACACGGCCTCCCTCGCCCTCCCTGCTCCGAGCCAGGGTTGGAAATCATCTTAACGGGTTTCATCCTAACATTTTTTTAGCCAGGATGTACTAAAATTAGATGGGAACAAAGGGCTGACGTTTTCATGGGAGAGGAGGGTTAGGAGGGAAATGTGAGCTGGCAGCAACCCCTCTCATCCACATTTAGCTTTTCCTCCGGACCTGTCCCCTTCTCTGGGGCAGTGGGAGGCAACAGTAGGGGAACCCCAACCATCCCAATGGCGCCTTTTTTTTTTTTTTTTTTTTTAATTTTCTTTCACTGATTTTTTAAAGGGAGAGGGAAGGAGAAATAGAAGCATCAGTGACAGAGAAAAGCATCAACATGGATCGGCTGGCTGTCTCCTGCACACCCCCTCCTACCAGGAACAGAGCCCGCAACCCAGGCATGTGCCCTGACTGGGAATGGAACCAGCGACCTCTTGGTGCATAGGTGGACGCTCAGCCACTGGGCCACACCAGCAACAGCGGTTCTATTCTGCGATCTTCGCTGATGATAATAACTGCTTCTTCTGAATGTTAATGAACAGTGATAAATACAGTTCACGGTCTCCTTACCCAACCAGACCGTTTTCATATTTCTTCCTAAGCTCCTCTATAGTATCCAGGGTATGCTAACTGCTGGTGCATGGGTCAATGTTTAGGTATTTGGAAAAAGAAATGCATTAGATTTGCTTTTCTTAAAAAGCTCTTTAGCATGTACAATAAAAATCACTTTACTAACACGTGTATTTCCTGATGCAGTAATAACAATACACATTTTTAAATATAGCAGAAAGAAATGCATAATTTCTTCAGATAGACCATGTAAAAATGGAAAAGAGAAAAGGCTTTGTTTTTATACTTTTCTCTAATAAACTAGGCCAGTAATTTGCAAATACTTTAAAACGCACTGATCCCTTGGTGGTCCGTCTGCCCCACAATGCTATCGGCAGGGTAAAAGTACACTCGGCAGCCTCCACCTCCCAGTTTCCTAGTTATTCTCCATAAAGCAGGATACTGATACATTCACGTCTCAGGAATTACTCCTACTTTTGAATTTGGTTTCCCTGGTCCCAAACTATAGGTCTACAGAGACAGCTCAAAATTCAGTCAGAGAAGTCCTTTTAATAAGTAGTCTAATGCACTGTGTTGTAAAGATTTTTTAAAACTCGGTACATACCAACTCAAGCTCTTTTTTTTTCTGGTTACTGGAGCCCATCCTGACATCTAAGCTGGAAATAAATGATCTTTCAACAACACTCCAGGGATTTTACTAAGGTCATATTCAGTCATTCATTAGGCTCCTTACCCTTGCTTTTAGAGATCCATTGTAGAGCTGGTTTTATTCAGCATTTACGTAGCCTGTGGGCCTGGGTATTTGTCTGCTTAATGTTGAGTTTCATTTCTATGCCCCTAACATAGGAATCCATCAATTGACCAAAGAATTTCAAACTATTCTTCTACTTTTCTAACAAAGTGCATGGTGTGTATGAAGAATAAATTAGCATTCATTTTCTTGAATTAACTGTTAATAAAACATGCTCATGTGCTCCCTTCTTCTACGGACATCTCTGATTCTTGCTTCACCAAAGAAACGACAAGGGTTTCCTACTTTCCCCTGTGCAGCTGTCCCCCAACCCATCCCGCTCTCGTCTCCCGCAATCCGGCTCGGGGTGGTGCCAGCCGCCTCCCAGGAAGTGCTCCCGGTGAGACGACTCAGAGCCATCGACGCCCCACACACCATCAGCCGCAGAGGACCACGGTGGCACCCGAGCCACTTTCGCTCCCCAGCAGACGGTTGTCTCTGGGGCACACGCACGCCACTCACGGTGCCAAACACAGGAGACCAAATCCAGGTCTCCCCAAGCAGGGTGCTGGCCTGCAGAGCGACAGGTTTCTCACAGACTTCGTATGTTTTCATTGTAGGCTACCAGACACACACATACACATATAGAAAATAAAATGATTTAAGAGAACATCAATCAAAGTCTAACAACATAAGCGGTGATACTGTATTTCTTTTCATATCAATTTAAGAAAAATCATTCCAAAGCCATATAAAACTTAAATTACTAATACAGGTTCCTGAAAAAGAAAGGTTTCTATTATACTCTGGACGAATGTGAAAGAATAAGGTCAACATGTAGTACTGCGTTACAGTATCTCAGAAATGTAACAATAACTGTGAACTGAGACACATTATTCATACAAAGACTAAAAGTCTTTGTATCTGTTTACCTCCCTTCCGAACCCCCAAGACAGAAATTGCATGCATGTCACAGATGAAAGGCCAACTCGTGGCTCCTGCAATGGGGGGAAAAATCACTGCAGAACAGTTCGTGCTTATTTTAAAATGGCTTCAGTCAAGCTGCCAAGTGCAGTGTCAGGTCTGATTCTCATGTGCATAAGCCAGTCCTGAAAAGCAGCGCGAACTTGTGCACCTGGCTTAAAACAAATCTTCTGAAAAACTCTCTATGTGTTCATTGGTGCAACCGGCCCATTCAGGCCTCAGACCCCTTCGGACTTGGTGCACTTCTTCCCCACAGAAGTGGCTGTTGTGCGGTAATAACATCATAATGAAAAGCAGCAATTCTGTACAGACTCCACAGAGAAATCTCGTTTGCATTTCAAACAAGTTTCCCCAAAATAAGAGTGTCTTTTGATGAAATGAAATTACAATTCCAACTTCTTATCCAGAGAAAACAGCGCTCACTACATAACTCACTGTTCTCTAGAACTATGTCATTTCTTTCCCGGTTACCCACACAGTCCCGTGATTTAACAGAACTATGCTGAACAGTCGTGTATTTGTACTTATTTCGGTAACTCAGCGACATTCACTGGCCTGGCGTTTAAGCATGGCATTATCCGAAAATACTGATTTGCTGTTAGCATGTCGGGACCTTCCCACTGTTCTCACTCCAGCCTCTGAGAGGCTGGTGGCCAGCGGGATCCGGGGTGGGAAGAGACGAGTCCCTTCCCTAACCCTACCGATGCTGCACCATCCCCCAACCTCCTGCATCTCTGCACACGGTCAACATACCCCGTGACAGCGACTCAAGGAGCTTGCAACGAGGGCCCCTTCCAAGCTATTATTAGTGAATCAAACCCACGGTCTCATTCTGGTCACACAGAAAACCTATTTTGTTAGATTCGTGCTTTAAAATAGCACAGACTTAACAGCTCAAAATGCTAAGAAGGTACTTATCCACTGTTATCATATTTTAAATCAAGGAATAGTTATGTGGAAAAACAACAAAGACCAGACCGGCTTAGTGAGTTAGACACTGTTGCCTCTATGGTGTAGACCCCACAGCAAGTCTGCAAAATCAACACAATGTGTTTAAGCTTAAAAACACATATTTTAATTTCTCACTTTTTAAAGGTTAAAAATTAAAGCTTTTCACAAAAATTTTATTTATGTTTAAAGTTTACGTAAATGTCTTCAGTTATCTTGCGCAAGGCAGGTAGTAATCTTTTTTTTTAATCTTCACCCGAGGATATTTTTCCATTAATTTTCAGATAGAGTGGGAGTTGAGAGAGAGAGAGAGAGAGAGAGAGAAACATCGATGTGAGAGACACACCGATTGGTTGCTCCTGCATGACCCCAACCAGGGCCGGTTATCAAACCACAACCCAGGAGAGTGTGCCCTTGACCAGAATCGAACCCGTGACTCTTCGGGCTGACTCTCTAACCACTGAGCCAAAACAGCCAGGGCAAGGTAGTAATCTTTTTTTTTTTTTTATCCTCACCCGAGGACACTTTTTCATTCTTTGTTCAGAAAGAGCAGGAGGGAGAGAGAGGAAGGGAGGGAGAGAGAAACATCGACGTGAAGGGGACACATCGAGTGGCTGCCACCCGCATGACCAACCAGGGCCGGGGACAAACTGCAACCGAAGTACGTGCCCTTAGCGGGAACCGAACCCGGGTCTCTCCGGACCGCAGGCCGACGCTCTAACCGCTGAGCCAAACCGGCCAGGGCAAGGTAGTAATCTTAATGGCTGATTAATGTTGGTCTAAATCAAACCACCCTCCCTGCCCCCACTCTGGGGCAAAAATGAAGGGGAAAAGGACGCAATGCGAGACTTCTCACTAGAACTAACATTTGCAAACAAACAAATTCTCCTCATTCTGTAACCCAAACGGCCTAAAAATGAAAATCATCAAATATCAAGTCATTTTTTTAAAAAATTCATATTGTGCCCTGGCCAGTGTGGGTCAATGATTAGCACGATGGCCTCAAGAACCAAAGGGTCTCAAGTTCAATTCTGGTCAAGGGCACAAACTTGGGTTGTGGGTTCAATCCCTGGGCCCGACCTGGGGGCATGCGGGAAGCAACCAATCAATGTGTCTCTCTCGCGTTGATGTTTCTCCACCTTCTACTCTCTCTAATGGAAAAAGTATCCTTGGGTGAGGATTAACAACAAACAACTCACAACTCATTGTGACTTCATTATTTAAACAGCCCAAATACAAAACAGCATTAAATATTTAACATACCTTATCTTTTCAAAACTCTTAATAAACTCTTTCTCTTACCAATTAGCCCCTAAGTAGAACGCCTTTGTCCTCATACCCCCCGGGGCCCATGTATAAGAGTAAGTGTAACTCCACCCCTTTCGCGGAGGATAGGCCAGTCTTTCAGACAGGCGGGGAGAGGGTGGGAAGAGGGGATGACTCGCTCACCAGCAGTCTGCAGAGCCACTGTCACGAGGGCTTGCAGGGCTCCCAGAAGTAACTGCCAACCCCAGGTGAAGCAGCAGAATGTGCCAGGGGAAGGGAGTGGTCTGAGGGCCAGCACCAGGGAGCCGTCCGGGCTCCGTCCTGTGCCAGCTGTCTGGTAGGTAGAAACAGCAGTAGGTTGTCTGATGCGGAGAAACAGTGCAGGTGATCCACGCCTGAGGGTACTGGGAAGGTTCAGAGATAGCACCGTGCTAGCCTGCGACAGTCTCTCTCAGCTGTCTTTCGTTCTACTTCCTATTTATCCCTCAGGGTGTAAAATGCCACCAGCCACCAAGTACAAGCTCAATTAATATTTCTGGTCAACTGATATATTTACCTGATTTTGTTTAACTATATATATGAAGGCTAGAGAATTTTCTCAGCTATTAAATAATTTTTTTAAATAACCACCATACAACCCAAAATAGTAGGCTTATTATGTTTCATAAACAGGCTAATAATGTACTAAGAAAGTTGTTCTGCTATTGTCCTGGCCCTGGAATAGTCCGGAAACATAATATACAGCTATATTCAATCCAACTTTACCACAGCCCAGGTCAGGAACGCATGCTTTCCGTAAACTCATTTACTGCTTTGAAAGTTTTTAACTGTTCAGCAGGTATAGACAATTGTTTTTAATCAAACAGGAAAAAAAGACTGACATTTCAAATACAAAAGAATATTTCAACCTATTCTTGGTTGATCTCTCACACTCAACCGCGCACAGGCCGTGATTTTTCATGTCTGTCCACCGTGTGCGGCCTGTGTACTTACTAAGCACTGACTGGCACTTGCATTTTCTGTGTCAGGTGTGCTTGGCTGTAGAGCTTCTTGGAAGAAGTTATGTGAATTTGTCCAAGGAAAAGTCTCACGTTTTCTGGAAAGCCAACGCGGCGACACTGTGTCCAGATCGGCCTCCAAAGCTGAACGTGGGTGTGGGCAGTTCTTCGAAAAGTACAAATCCTGTCCGACAAAAGGCAAAGTCTCTTATGAGGGATTCAGCCCCACAGTCAAAGAAGCTTGTCCTAACAGTGCCTTTCAAACGCTGCCTAAAGCTACGCGATTCCAAACCACACTGTGCCTGCCTCTCATTCTGGGTTTTCAGTTCCACTGTGCATGCATGTATGTAACATGTGGACGCCCCAAACACTGGCAACTGAACAAGGAGCAGACAAGACGGGAAACAAACTGCAGAGAAGAGGCTCTCTGCTCATCCATGCCCCATGCCCCCCACTTCCTGTCTACCATCCCTTCAGCTCTGCATCTCCTTCAGCCGACTTCTCCCACCTGGGAAGCAGCTCCCACGTGTTGAGTCCTCACCACGTATTGGGCACTGTTCTAAGTGCTTATATGTAGTAATGCAACTGATCCACATCACACATACAAAGAAGTTAATACAAAGAGGTTAAATAACGTGGAGATAAAAATGAATCTGTAAGATGACGAAGTTCTGGAGACGGATGGTGGTGATGGTTAACACCAGTGAACTGCACACTTAAAAACGAATAAATGGAGCCAGCCAGTGTGGCTCAGTGGTTGAGTGTTGATCCGTTCACTAAGAGGTCACCAGTTCGATTACCAGTCAGGGCACATGCCCAGGTTATGGGCCCAGTCCCCAGTGGGGGACATGCAGGAGGCAGCCAACTGATGTTTCTATCTCCCTCTCCCTCTCCTTTTCTCTCTCTCTCTTTCTCTAATATCAATAAAGAAAAAAATTTTTTTTGAAAAACAGAAAAATGGAACCAAAGAACTTATATGCATATATGTGTAACCAATGGACATAGACAAAAATACTGTGAAGGGGGGCAGGAGCAGGGAGGAGGGTGTCAACGGGGGGAAAAGGAGAAACATCTGTAACAAAAATAAATTCATTAATTAACAAAAAAAGAAAAAAATGATTAAATGGTAAATCTTATAATATACAGGGGTGAGCAAAAGTAGGCTTATAGCTATAAGTACAGTTGTATTATTTATTTATTGTATTGTTTACTATTGTTATTAACCTACTTTTGCCCGCCCCTATTATTTTACCCAATAAAAACAAAACTGTAATCGAGATCAACACAATAAATTAGTAACTTTCAAAGTAGCCACAGTGTGGTGTTAAAAAATAATAACTTGTATTGAAAAGTCCAGGTTCACCCTGGCCAGTTCAGCACAGCGGTCAGAGCGCCGGCCGGCAGACCAGTGAGACCCGGGTTCGGTTCCCACTAAGGGCACGTACCTCGGTTGCAGTTTGTCCCTGGCCCCGGTTGGGGTCGTGTGGGTGGCAACCAGTCGATGTGTCTCTCTCACATCGATGTTTCTCTCTCTTCCTCCCTCACACTCTGTCTGAAGATAAATGCAAAAATGTCCTCAGTTGAGGATAAAAGTAAAAAAAGTCTGGGTTCAAGTCCCAGCTCTACCACATACTGGGTGAAAGACATGCTGGTCACATGACCTTAACCAGGCTCCTCAGTTCCAATCAAGACGTTACAGACACTAATGCACTGATCTAACTCACGTGATTTTGTCAAGTTCAAAATAAGATAATATGCCATTTTCATAAACTATAAAATAAGATGAAACTTTTTAAAAAAAAATAAGACAGCCCAGCCAGTCTGGCTCAGTGATTGGGCATCAACCATGCACCAAGAGGTCGCTGGTTCAATTCCTGGTCAGGGCACATGCCCAGGTTGTAGGCTTGATCACCAATGGGGGGCGTGCAGGAGGCGATCAATGTTTAAGCTTCTCTCTCATCGATGTTTCTATCTCTCTCTCCTTCTCCTTTCCTCTCTCTAAAAAATCAATAAAAACATGAAAAGGGCCCAGCCGGTGTGGCTCAGTGGTTGAGTATCGACCCATGCACCAAGAGGTCGCTGGTTCGATTCCTGGTCAGGGCACATGCCCAGGTTGTGGGCCCGATCCCTAGTGGGGGGCATGCGGGAGACGGTCAGTCGATGTTCTCTGTCATTGATGTTTCTGTCTCTCTCCCTCTCTCTTCCTCTCTCTTAAAAAAAAAAAATCAATAAAGAAAAAAATAAAAAAACATGAAAAGGGGTGGGAGGTTGGGGAGGAGGATGTCAATGAGGAAAAAAGAAGAAACGTCTGTAACAAAAATAAATAAATAAAAACATAAAAAAATAAAAAATCAGCCCAGCCAGTGTGGCTCAATGGTTGAGGTCGACCCTGCACCTAGAGGTCACTGGTTCGATTCCCTGTCAGGGCACATGCCCAGGTTGTGGGCCCAATCCCCTGTGGGGGGCGTGCAGGAGGCAAACAACTGATGTTCTCTCTCTTTGATGTTTCTCTCTCTCTAAAAATCAATAAAGAAAAAATCAAAAACAAACAAACTGATCACAGAAAACTTTTCCAAAGAAGGACAGGCCATTTAATAACATGACATATTTTAACACTGGAAAACAAAGCCACTATGGTGGATACGTGGGTACACACCCATATTTGTTTCTAAAATTTTACTTACAATTAAAATATTTCATAATCTTCGAGAGAAAATTAAACTGTGAATTATCCAGGAGAAATCTTTTAACTTCCTGGACTAACCATACAGAATTGAAGTTATTATATTTCAATAGATAATACACCAAATTATTAAAGGTGACTGTATTCCAGAGATAGATAACAAATTATTATAATTATTTTCATCTATATGCTTATGTGTTAGGGTTAATATTTTTCTATTTTTTTCCATAATGAATCTGGATTACCTTTGTAGTAAGACAGGTTTCTAGGTTTTAGTGGGGGTTTTTTTCAGTAGTTGTAAGAAAGACACGTGCCTTGGACAGCAAATTAGAAAACCTAATATCTGGCAAATGTTTCAAATAATCCTCACCAAACAAATGACAACACAAAATATTTGTATCGATAGGGCTAGAAAGGAAAAATGTAAGATTCACTTCAACAGTTTTATGAATATTTGTTTCAAATAAGGAGAGAATCTGAGAGATGGGTGAGCAAGCTTCATCCTAGGCAAAGGGGGCCAGGGAGGCCGATCTTGAGAAGCCGGTGACAAGCCCGCAGCGGTGATGCCTGGCAGTGAGCTCTGCTGGAGTCCTTAGAGCTCCAAGGACCGTTTTCTAAGAGAGGCATGCCTAAAAATGGTATGTCATTATTTCTTTAACATTTCCTGTGGAAGCATTTCGCTTATTTAAATTCCATATTTCGCTCTCAAACTGAACCTGAATTAAAGGGTTCAGTCAGTAGTTCTCAGACACAGACACATTTTTAAGCACTCCTTACCAGGCTACAGTCTGTTCCTCATTATCAAAAACAGACAAATATGTTTTTGTCTGTGGCTCCAGGGGTAAAAGAGAACACCTGTATTTAAACACCAGGAAGGACCTTGCTCTACGCAGCGTAACTCTGGGCATTTATTAAAACTGTCAAGCTTCGGGAAGAGGAAAAGACTATTCGTACGGCCTCAACAGTTCTAAAAAATACACACTTCACATGGAAGATAATAAAATTAATGGCACGAAATAAAAGACAATAAATCACATGTAGTTCTTGTTTTCCAGAGGCAACAGTAATGAAGTGACAGGCTCGGGTTTCAAGCCTCACGCACTTGGTTCTGCATCCTACAACCTGCCCGAGCCCCTGCACACACACGGAGAATGTGTTAAGTGTCTCCTACCGCCTTGTCCCTCGTCACCAAAAAAAAAATCCCTAAGACAAAGTACACGCGACACAGTCATAAACTCATTTCCCATTGGCTTGTGAGAACTGACATTCAAATTTTAACCACAAATTCAGCAATCATTTATTAATACTCCATCCTGAAAACTCCTACCATCCCTTGAAAACACTTCATCCTAATCTGAAAGGACTCTAAGGAAAAAACAAGCAGATGTCCAGCTATCCATCCTCAAGGTGCCTTCCCGGAACTGCCTGTGCCCGCATGCATGAACCGGCAGGCACGACCCTCCTGAGAACACGCAAAGGAGCATGTGCCGAGCGCTTGAACCATTTCTGAACAGGTTATCGCCTCCCAAGTCTCACAAAATCCCCACTTGACAGACACGGCACCTATTATATACTTTGCTCGTGGGGCAAAAGAGGATCCTGTCTTGGCACCAAAAATCTTGCAAAAGGTAGAGATTTCCTCAAGAATAGGCAGCATTTCTACTGTCAAGTCCCTACGTTTGTTTCTGTGCAATGTGAAAAATAATTGTTTCATTTACACTGAAAACAATAAGGCAGATCCTAGATGTCTAGATGACCACTAGAAAGACATATAAAGCGCCTATAAAGTTAAATCTGTCATCATGCAAGACTTCAGAAAAACTGCCGGCATCGTGTTCTCGCCACCAGGGTCGGCACATGCCGTCAGAAGCACCGTCTAGCGCGTTCTTCATTCGATTCGAAGGAACGGATCACACAGCTTAAATAAAGAGCTTAATTTTTATAGGCTCATAAATTTTAGTACTTAACTACCAGGATTTCTTGGAAATTTTTAGACAGGACTCTGGATCTCAACCAATATTATTTCTTTGTGCTTTGCATATATGGTTAAAAGTATTACCAAGGTTATTAACAGAGGAGAAAAGTAGGCAATTCCCACAAATAGGAAAGTAGAACACTATAACACCAAGGAAAAACCTATTTAAGTGCATTAAACCCGAGGAAAGTGCACAAACAGCATCCAGCCAATTACCTTCACTGAATTCATTTAGCAACTCTTCCTTGGTCCAATTACATGAGGTTATTAGAAAAAAGCCTTTCGCTTTCAGCACCCTGGAGAGAGATCGCACGTACTGCTTCCTCTTCTCTACCGCATTGTCAGGACTCAGGCTTATGGCATCAAAAGTCCCCTTGTCAATACAAATATGAAATCCAGACAGCTCTGTGGAAAGATTCAAAAAGTCTTCGACCTATATTAGAAATCAATGCCTACGTGAGAACAATTAACACACAATCTTTACAGAATTTAAGTGACAATCTGTAAAAAGTTAGAGAGAAGAGGACCCATTCATTATGACGGCGTTTTACATGTAACAAACATATTTTCAACTTTATAGCTAACTGTGAGGTGCTTCATTCCAAGATCATTAAAGCTGAGATTAGTAAGAGACAGTGTTTCCTAGACATTCCAAATCTTTACAAATTTGGAAACAAATCAAAGCCAGGTGTACTGCCTACATGTAAGACCAGCACATAGAGCTCACAATTATTTCTGTTGAAAAGTAGTGTTTGACATATTCTTAAAAATGACAAAAAATTATCTGAAACTCAAACAGGTCACTGGAAATAAGATGATTGTTAGGCCCGGCTAGTGTGGCTCAGTGGTTGAGCGTCGACCCATGCACCAAGAGGTCACCGGTTCGATTCCTGGTCAGGGGACATGGCCAAGTTGTGGGCCCGATCCCCAGTAGGGGGCGTGCAGGAGGCGGCCAATCCATGTTCTCTCTCATCGATGTTTCTCTCTCTCTCTCTCCCTCTCCCTTCCTTTCTCTCTAAAATCAATAAAGAAAAAACAATTTTTTTTAAAGATGATTTTTAGTTAAGATTACCAGTAGATAAAGGCTCTTTGGCCTTGGCAGCTCGTGCTTACAGGGACTGGCGCGGGGCTTAAGAAATCAGATGGCTGCTTACACTGCAATAACTGCACTTCACAAATATCATTCACTTTAGAATTTCAAAGTTATACATCATTTTCAATAACCCCTAAAGTTATAAACACTTGAAACAGTGAGTTACCCAATTTTATAAAATATTCAAAATAATTTGCCAATACAATTCTAAAAAGTTATTTTGAAAGATTATGCAAATTAGCTGATGATTATTCATACAGACTTAATAGAGAATCATAAATAATGTGTTATCCAAAACTCCCTTACTGTTTGACTTAGAAATGTGGATCTAATGTTTGTGTACATTGGGACATGGGCTACCCCCTCCCTCACACCCAAGGAGTCACTGTACCTGAAGAAAAATGACTACACTCTCAAGTACGAAGTTTAGAGAAGTTCCTATGCTAAGTACACATTTATTCAACAAGTATTTTGTAGACACCTATTAAACACAGAAATTTTTCAGACTCTGGGAATGTAACAGCAAACAAAAGAGCAAAGTTCACTGTATAAGAATATGTCTCAGCCCTGGCCAGTTTGGCTCAGCAGTTAGAGCATCAGCCCGTGGTCCAGAGAGCCCGGGTTCAGTTCCTGCTGGGGGCACGTACCTCGGTTGCAGTTTGTGCCTGCCCGACTGGGGTCGTGTGGGTGGCAACCACTGGATGTGTCTCTCTCATATCGATGTTTCTCTCTCTCTCTTCCTCCCTCTCTCCTTCCCGCTCTATAAAAAAGAATGTCTTATACTCTCTAAAGGGAAAAGCAAATAATAAATAAGCTCAACAATAATTTCAGGTAAAATGCAATGAAGAAAACAGAAACAATGAAGACAGGAAAGACTGGGAAAGGAAAGTTCGGGAGAAGGGAATCGGGAGGCCTGAGAAGGTGAGCTCGAGCAGAGGCCTCGGGCAAGGGCGAGCCGATCCAGCTCCGTCTGGGCAGAGCGATCCAGGCAGAGCAGCAGGGACAGAGACGGGAGAAGGGAATCGGGAGGCCTGAGAAGGTGAGCTCGGGCAGAGGCCTCGGGCAAGGGCGAGCCGATCCAGCTCCGTCTGGGCAGAGCGATCCAGGCAGAGCAGCAGGGACAGAGACGGGAGAAGGGAATCGGGATGGCCTGAGAGGCGAGCTCGAGCAGAGGCCTCGGGCAAGGGCGAGCCGATCCAGCTCCGTCTGGGCAGAGGATCCCAGGCAGAGCAGCAGGGACAGAGACTGGAGAAGACAGACTGGACATGTTTCAGAAGCAGAGACGTGACTGCGGCAGTGGTGATGAAGAGGGAGAGAGGTAAGAAATGAGGCTCTGTAGGCAGGGTGGGGTTCGGGTTCTAGTCTGCACACACCAGGGCAGCCACTGAAGGCTGATGAACAAGGCAGGCCCAGCACTCATCTGCATTTTGAAAGACCGCTCTGGTAGCTCTGTGGTAATATTAGCCGGGTGGCCAGAATGGGAATGGGGAGGCCAAATAAGAGGCGACTGTTCTTGCCTGGACAGGAAATGATGGTGGCTCGTATGTGGGAGGAAGCAGTGGAAATATCAAGGAAGGATTATATTCCTGATTTGCTTTGAAGATAAAACAAACAGAATTGGATATAGGATTTAAAGAAAAGAGAAGACTCAAGGATGATTTCTTGGGTCATTGTAACCTGTAAATGAATGGTGGTATCATTAAAGAGACGGGAAGGGGGCTGAGGAGCACAGGTTTAAGAAAACCAACAGGCCCTGGCCGGTTTGGCTCAGCGGTTAGAGTGTTGGCCTGCGGTCCTGAGAGACCCGGGTTCGGTTCCCGCTAAGGGCACGTACCTCGGTTGCAGTTTGTCCCCAGCCCTGGTTGGGTCGTGCCGGTGGCAACTACTCGATGTGTCCCTTTCACATAGATGTTTGTCTCTCTCTCTCTCTCCCTCCCGCTCTATCTGAATAAAATATGGAAAAATGTCCTCGGATGAGGATTAAAAAAAAAAAGAAACAAGAAAACCAACAGTATCATTTTGGACTAACTGAGAGACAATTAGCTATCCAAGTGGAACTGTAAGACACACAGCTTTTATATCATTCTAGAGCTCAAAGGAGAAGACAAAGCTAGAAATATAAATGCAAGAAACATCGTCTCCTCATAGATCACAAAAATAGACTAAGTAACCTTTGGTGCCATTATCCCACCTGACACATTTCCAACTTCTCCAGCTAGTTAACTCAAAGTTGGGCATTATTTGTGTGTGTTTGTACACATGGCGGGACAGAGGAGGAAGTAAATACACTTGCACACGAGAAAGAAAATAACTTCCCCAAGCTGACTGAGGATTTTAGTACAGTTACTTAAAAATGTTTCATCTTGGGTTGTTTATGATTGATATACTTTAGAAATATTTAAATTTTATATAAATTTTATTAGAAATAAAGATAAGTTAGCCCTGGCCGGTTTGGCTCAGCGGTTGGAGCATCGGCCTGCGGTCCGGAGAGACCCGGGTTCGGTTCCCGCTAAGGGCACGTACTTCGGTTGCACTTTGTCCCCGGCCCTGGTTGGTCGTGCGGGTGGCAGCCACTCGATGTGTTCCTTCACGTCGATGTTTCTCTCTCTCTCTCCCTTCCTCTCTCTCTCCCTCCCACTCTATCTGTACAAAAAATGGAAAAATGTCCTCGGGTGAGGATAAAAAACAACAACAACAAAAAAAAAAAGAAATAAAGATAAGTTATAGTAATTTAAAGAATAGTTACCTTCAAATTAATGTTAGATAAACCTTCTTTCTCTATAATACTTCCAGAAAGCTGTATTGCAGATGGAGAGTAATCAATTCCAGTAATATTAGTGAAACCGAATTTTGCCTAGAGACAGAGAAGTAATTTTATACTTTAGTTTTAAAAAGTTTTAACATACTGTTTTGCCTATGAATTATAATATTCCTTTAGGACTGTGACTGTTTTATTTATTTTTAATAGATCAAGTATCATATACCATCCAATAATCTATAATGTTTAAATGTCATTACAGAATCAAAACAGAAACTAAAATTTTAAATTTATAGACTGTGACAATTCATTTGCTTTTATAATATTTGAATTCTTTTTCAAAAGGAAATTCATTTTCTCCAAGAGAATGAGAATACTTATGTGTATAATATTTCTGCCCTCGAGCAGAAAAATGTAGAATTAACTTCCAATGCAGATATGCTCTAATTCACACGTAATTCTGTCATAAACTTTACTACACAATTAAGTTATATGAATAAATTAAATGCATGTGAAGCTCTCGATTAAAAATTCCTTCGGTGTAAATATAAATTATGCAACTTTCCAACAGCCAAGTGACTATTAATCACCTTACACTTGTATAGTAATTTTTGTTTTTGAAATATTTCATACATTCGAACAGATCTTTACAAAACACCTGTGCGGTTGGGCCGAAGAGTCAAAGAAGCTCACTGGACCTAGGATCTGAGAGAAAGCTACAGTGCTAGCTGTTGACGAGCCATGAGAACCCAACTAAGCTGGAAATATAAATGCAAGAAACATGGGCACCTGTGGCAAAAGCGTGATGGCTTCTGACCTTCACCCCCACCACCTCATCATGCTAAACTTCTTTAGATCAACCAGGCTAAAGGTCATTTCAAAGGGTATTTGAAGAAGAAAAGAAGTTGCAAAGTACAGCGTAGCCTTCAATTCTCTTCCTGCTCCTCACAACTTACTAAATGATTACTTCCTTCAAAATTTAACCTATTCCAACACCATCCATCAAGACTTACCCAGACTTTTAACCCTAAGTGACAGATTCCTAATCCAAACTCAAGTATGCACAAATTACTTCCATAGAGCATTTTACCTGAGGATACTTTTACATTTATTTTCAGACAGAATAGGAGGGGGAGAGAGAGAGAGAGAGACAACATCGATGTGAGAGACACATCGACTGGTTGCCTCCGGCACGACCCCAAGCTGGACCGAGGACCGAACCGAAACTGAGGTATGTGCCTTTGACCAGAATCAAAACCAAGACTCTCTGGTCTGCAGGCCAACGCTCTAACCGCTGAGCCAAACTGGCCAGGGCTGATTATTTTCAGTCTTCAAGTCTCTGTCCTTGACGCCACCCTCCTACTCCTTCAGCTGTCTCACTGCACTCTCTCCCAGGCCTTCACGCCGCCCCTCAGTGCCTTCCCCATCACACCCAGGACACGGGATGACTGACAGCTGACTCTTCTCCCATGCCTGCGTATTCTTCCAGCAGAACTTATGAAAATCATAAACAGATAGTTTAGGTTTCGAGTATAATCATCCGAAGCCTCAACATATCTACAACAATTTTCACGTTCAGTTTCTGGCGCTCAATGAGATGAGCAGACACTGAAGGGTACAACAAATGACCAAAGCAAGGCAGACAACTGACACTGGAAAAAGACCCACAGAAGACCCAAATGAAAGAATGATGAGAAACAGATTTTAAAACAACTGAAATAAATAACAACTTGGAGAATTTTGACAGACAACTAAAAACTATACCAAAAAACAAACAAACAACAGAAATGAAAAAAGCAATAATTAAGTTAAGAAACTGAAGGGTGAACTTGACAGCAGATCAGACAGAAAAAAATTAGTGAACTGGAAAAAAGGTCAGAAGTAAATGTCCCTGCTAAGTATACAATGACAAAGAAATGTAAAATTAAAAACAGAAAAGAACATAAAGGGTATAATATGGGACAAAGTGTAATATCTAACATTAATATAACAGGAATCTTAAAAGGAGAAAATGGTATATGGCTGAGAAGTTTTTTAATCCTCACCCGAGGATATTTTCCTATTTATCTTCAGATAGAGTAGGAGGGAGGGAGAAAATTCTAGGTGAGAGGGACGAACCGCAACTGAGGTATGTGCTCTTGACCAAAATTGAACCCGCAACTCATTGGTCCACAGGCCAATGCTCTAACCGCTAGCCCAACCGGCCAGGGCCGGCTGAGAATTTTTTAATATCAACAAAGAACCCCAAGTCACAAATTTAATAAGTTCTGTAAACCCAGGGCATGATTTTAAAAAAGGAAAACCTGCCCGGCCGGTGTGGCTCAGTGGCTGAGCAGCATCCCATGGACTGAGAGATCCAGGTTCCACTCCCGGTCAGGGCACATGCCTGGGTTTTGGGTTTGATCCTCAGCAGGGGGCGTGCAGGAGGCAACCGATCTGTGTTTCTCTCATTGACGTTTCTAACTCGCTCTCCCTTCCTCTCTCTCTAAAAAAATATCAATAAAAACATATTAAAAAAAAAAAAAAAAACTGACAGCCAATAAGACGGACAGCTGACGAGAAGTCATAAAGAATAGCCCTGGCCGGTTCGGCTCAGCGGTTGGAGCATCGGCCTGCAGTCCCAAGAGACCCGGGTTCAGTTCCCGCTAAGGGCGTATACCTTGGTTGCAGTTTGTCCCCGGCCCTGGTTGGTCATGCGGGTGGCAGCCACTCGATGTGTCCCTTTCACATCAATGTTTCTCTCTCTCTTCCTCTCTCCCCCTCCCACTCTACCTGAATAAAAAAAAGAAAAATGTCCTCAGGTGAGGATTAAAAAAAAGAATAAAAACCATACCCTGGCAGTTTTGCTCAGCAGGTAAAGTATCCGCCCACAGACCTAAGGGTCATGAGTTTGATTCCCAGTCAAAGGCACAGTCAGGGTTGTGCAGGAGGTTCCCATGGATGTGTCTCTCTCACACAGATGTTTGTCTGTCTGTCTGTCTCTCTCTCTCTCCCTCCCTCCCTCCCTTCTACTTCTATCTTTAAAAAATAACAATGAAAAAATATCCTCAAGCGAAGAGTAACAAAAAAAAAGAAGTCCTGGCCCGGTCGGTGTGGCTCAGTGGCTGAGCGTCGACCCTGTACCAAGAGGTCACCGATTTGATTACCAGTCAGGGCATGCAGGAGGCAGAAAACTGATGTTCTCTCTCGTCGATGTTTCTATCTCTCTCTCTAAAATCAATAAAGAAAAAATATTTAAAAAAAAAAGAAGCCCTGGCTGGTTTGGCTCAGCAGTTAGAGTGTTGGCCTGCGGATCAATAAGTCTCGGGTTCGACTCTGGTCAAGGGCACATACCGTGATTGCAGTTCATCCCAGCCCTGGTCGGGGTAGTGCAGGAGGCAACCAATTGATGTGTCTCTCTCACCTCTCCCTCTTTCCCTCCCTCCCACTCTATCTGAAGATAAACAGAAAAATATCCTCGGGTGAGGATTAAAAGAGAAGAAAAAAGAATGAAAGCCAAAGACAATGAAAGAAAAATGCCAATCTAAAAGCATATACCATATATGTACATCAAAAGTGTTCTCAGCTGGAAAGAGCTCAGTGAACCCCAAGAAGTCAGGGTAAGCATAAAGAAGTCCAAGCAGCAGCACTTCACAAGCAAACTGCTAAAAACTAACACACAGAAAAAACCTTGAAAGCATCCAAAAAATGGACGCATTACTTATAGGAACACAACAATTCAAATGATTGCAGAGTTCTCATCCGAAACCATGGAGGTCAGAAAGAAGCGGCATAACTTCTCAAAGTACTGAAAGAAAAGAAGTTAATTAAGAATTCTATATTCTGCTAAAACATCCCTTAGGAATGCAGGAAAAACAAAGACATTCTCAGATGAGAAAACACTAAGAAAATTCCTTACCAAGAAACCTTCTCTATAATAATTCCAAAAAGTTAGACAGAAGGGAAATAATATAAAAATAAGCAAGCAGCCCAGCTGGTGTGGCTCAGTGGTTGAGCATTGATCCTTGCACCAAAAGGTCGCTGGTTCAATTCCCAGTCAGGGCACATGCCCAGGATGTGGTCCAAATGCCCAGTGGGGGCTATGCTGGAGGTGGCCAATTGATGTCCTCATCAATGTTTCTCTCTCTCTCTCTCCTTTCCTCTCTCTCTAAAAATCAATAAAGGAAAAACAAATTAAAAAAAAAAAAAAAAAGCAAGCAAAACAAACTTATATGAGCACCATGAAGGAAGAGTGGCCAATTAAACAGCTGGGTGAACACAATTAGCTACTATTCTCCTGCTGCGTTCTTTAAAATATGTTTAATGTTTGAAAGGAAAAATTCTAGCATTATGTGAACTTTCAGTGTACATAAAGGTAGAATTTAAGATAACTGAAATACAAAGGGGGGAAGAGCAAACTCAAAGGTGGTAAGGTTTTCCACATTCCCCTTGAACAGGTAAAACATCGATTTAAGTAAACTGTGAAATGTATGTCTATTGTCATTCACACAGCAACCAATAAAAAGCCATACAAAGAGATACACGCAAATCCCTACAGCAACCACTAAAAAGTAAAAACGCTATACAAGGACATATATATAATGGTTTGGCTCAGCGGTTAAAGCGTCGGCCTGCGGTCCAGAGAGACCCGGGTGTGGTTCCCGCTAGGAGCATGGACCTCAGTTGCAGTTTGTCTCTGGCCCCGGTTGGGGTCATGTGGGTGGCAACCAGTCAATGTGTCTCTCTCACGTCGATGTTTCTGTCTCTCTCTTCCTCTCTCTCTTTCCTCCTCTCTCCCTCCCATTCTTTCTGAAGATAAATGTAAAAATGTCCTCAGGTGAGGATAAAAAAAATAACAAAAGTATTGCAAAAGTGAAAAGCAAGCCACAGACTAGATAAAGGTATTTGCAATATAAAGGTCACATATACAGAAATATAAAGAACTCCTGTAAATCAGTAAGAAAAAGACAGGCAATCCAATTTTTAGGTGGGCTAAAAACTTAAACAGGCATTTCACAAAAAGAATAGCCAAATAGCCAAAAAACATGAAAATGTGCTCAACATATTTGGTCCTTAGGGACTGAGGATACACCACAAAACACTACTATACACCTACCAAAATCACTGCAGTTGCATGAACGGACAAGACCCGGTGCTGGTAAGGGGGCAGCGACTGGGATCTTCCCATACTTCCAGTGGCACAAACTAGTAGAACCATTTTGGAAACTGGCAGAATTCATAACAACACAGTACTGGAATCTCTCCTAGTCCATCAACAGGAGAGTGAATGAATTAATGAATAAATGACTAAATAGTCCTGGCCGGTTTGGCTCAGCGGTTAGAGTGTCGGCCCGCAGACCAGAGTCCCGGGATCGGTTCCCGCTAAGGGCACATACCTCAGTTACAGTTTGTCCCCACCCGGTTAGGGTCGTGTGGGTGGCAACCAGTCGATGTGTCTCTCTCGTATCAATGTTTCTCTCTCTCTTCTCCCCATCCCCCTCCTGCTCTATCTGAAGATAAATGCAAAAATGTCCTCGAGTGAGAATAAAAAGTAAAAGTTTTTTTAAAAAATGACTAAAGTAAACTATGGTCATGTCCACAGAGTATAATACTATGCCACAATGAAATGAAGCAATTTAGTGCACACACAAGAAATCAGCAAAAGAAGTCAGATGGGAAAAAAGTACATATGCAATGATACCATGAAACCATTTACATTGAATCAAACAGACAAAACTCAATGTAATGGAGAAAGGATAATCTTTTTGACAAATGACAGACAGCACAAGAAAGTGGTTTGGTCGAAGTCAAGGCTCTAGTGGGAAGGGCCAAGACCAGGACTCAGATCCCTTGGCTTCTCATTTAATTTCCTCTCCCAATCCATGCAGCCTCCTTTTTACCGTGTGACTTCCCAAAGTAAGTGGTATGGTTACTTTACTACTTTAATGGAGATGGTTAGTATCATCAAGTGCACGTTTTTTTTCATTCCATCTTAAAATCTGGCTCTAATACATGAATACTAAAAGCACCAACAAGTTCGACCAGGAGAACACCATTTCCGGTCCCGATGTCCAGCACTGCAGCACCCAGTGGGATCTCGTGTTCCTGCATCCACCTGACTAGTCGGCTCATGCTCTCTTCCCCAAACCTAGGAGAAAGAGTCGGTTCATCAAACAACAGCGGGACATAGCACAAAGGTCACAACTATATTCCATTTAAGCAGATTATTCAATATGCTCAATTAAGCCTTTTTTTAAAGTAAAAGATATCATCTGTGACTGTTTAAGCTTCATCTCTACTATTATTTAGGAAAAAACACATCCAAGAATAAAATAGAATAGATAAGGTTGGTAAATTACTTATTAACGTTTCTCTACATCAGCATTAACACTTATACATATCAATGGTTCAAGATTCTATTGCTTATTTTATTATTATTATTATTTTTATCCTCACCAGAGGACATTTTTCCACTTTTTTGTTAAGATAGAGTGGGAGGGAGAAAGAGGAAGAGAGAGAGAGAAACATCGATGTGAAAGGGACACATCGAGTGGCTGCCACCCACACGACCAGCCAGGGCCGGGGACAAACTGCAACCGAGGTATGTGCCCTTAGCGGGAACCGAACCCGGGTCTCTCTGGACCGCAGGCCAATGCTCTAACCACTGAGCCAAACCAGCCAGGGCATCTATTGCTTATTTTAAAAGGACAATTGTAGCACGGCCAGTGTGGCTCAGTGGATTGAGCACCGTCCCAAGAACTGAGAGGTCCTGGTTCAATTCCTGGTCTGGGCACATGCCCATTTATAGGCTTGATCCCCAGTGGGGGGTGTGCAGGAGGCAGCCAGTTGATGTTCCCCCTCATCAATGTTTCTCTCTCTCTCTCCCTCTCTCTCTAAAAAATAAAGAAGAAAAAAAAGAGACAGGCTCTGCCCTGGCCGGTTTAGCTCAGAGGTTAGAGCATCGGCCCACAGACCAAAAAGTCTCAGGTTCGATTCCAGCCAAGGGCACGTAAATCCGTTGCGGTTCATCCCCAGCCCATTGGGGTTGTGCAGGTGACAACGAATCGATGTCTCTCTCTCTCTCACATTAATGTTTCTCTCTCTCTCTCTCTCTTTCTCCCTCTCTCCCTTCCACTCTATCTGAAGAGAAATGTAAAAATATCCTCAGGTGAGGATTAAAAAAAAAGAGAGAGAGAGAGACAGGTTCTTTAAATGTACCCACTAAAGCCAGAATCAGTTCAAGGTTGCCATGATTTTCAGGCCATCTTTCTTTGGGATATGCACTTAAAAGATAAAGACACACACCCACACACCATCTTTGGGATCATAATTCCACTATTTTTTGTAACTCACCAGATTTCTCCTGTATCTCCATATTCTTGGAAACTGTGCAGTTCTCTCTCATAGACCGCATCCCAACTATATAAATAATTAAATACAAAGCAAGATTCTGGAGTTAACCTGTATTATGAATTAAATGTATATTTCTAATATATCAGAGATTTATGATAGACATTTAAAACATTATTGGTGTTATCAATAAGTGCACATAGCTCAAATCTCAACATCTTTGTGTTTAAAAAAAAGACAGAGCCCGGCCGGTATGGCTCAGTGGTTGAGTATCGACCCATGCACAAAGAGGTGGCCGGTTTGATTCCTAATCAGGGCACATGCCCAGGTTGTGAGCCCAATCCCCAGTGGCTGCTGAAGGTAGCCAATCGATGTTCTCTCTCATTGATGTTTCTGTCTCTCTCCCTCTCCCTTCCTCTCTCTCTAAAAATTAATAAAGGATAGAAAGAAGGAAAAAAAGACATAGACAAGCAGAATAAGCTTACACATGTAAAGCACTTAGAACAAAATCTGACAAATAAAATGCTGTTTTAGCTTTAAAGAAACACAAAGAAAAGGGTGGGGGATGGGGACATCTGTAGTACTGTCAACAATATATATATTTAAAAACACAAAGAAATATTTGTAGCCCTGGCCGGTTTGGCTCAGCAACAGAGCACTGACCCTCAGACGAAAAAGTCACCAATTCTATTCCAGTCAAGGGCGTGTACCTGGGTTGCAGGTTCCATTCCCGGCCCTTATTGGAGTCATGCAGGAGGCAACCAACTGATGTGTCTCACACGGATGTTTCTCTCTCTCTCTCTCCCCTCCCCCCATCTGAAGTTAATTGTAAAAAAGTATCCTCGGGTAAGGATTTAAATTTTTTTAAAAGTATTTGTTCAAGGATCCCTTAGTCCCAAACACAAGTCCAAGCTTTCAGTTTAAAATGTGCAGGAACGAGGATTTTTCTACCAAAGCAGTGGGTACTCAACAATGGAACTCACCAAAGAAAAGCTCTGCTTAAAGGACGTTTTCAGATGTACTCTCCGTGCGTCTAAGTCCAGTTCCCCTCCCCATCATTTGCAGCCTCCTCCTGCTCCACCTCTCTAGGCCCCTGCTCCCTCTCACCCCTGGGGGTACCTCTCCTCCTTAGCTTTCCGCACTCACTCATTCCTTCGCCTACTAATTACTCATCAAATGGTCACTGCCCATATGTTGCAGGTCAGTCCACTTTCTCCTGCCCCAGGGTAACCCACTGCCTCCTCGGGTCACCCTGCTCCCAGGCCTGGGAGCTCCCACACGCCCACCTCGCCCCCTTGGCCTTTCGCGCCCCCGGCGCAGCACGTCTCCCCGGCCTCTCCCCGCCCCCCGAGCCTGCCGCTCAGGATCAGCCCCCTGAGACCTCCCCCAAGATCTCGGGCCCCGACCCCAAACCCACGAGCCCACCAGGTGTCAGCCCCTTTCAAGGTCTTAGTCGCCCCCAAGGTGGGCCCTCGGGGTCCCTTGCGTTCAACCCGGCTCACCCTCGCCCGAGGTGGCCTTTCGGGCTTCCTCGCGTCACGCCCCCAAGGCTCGCCCGGCTTCGGAGACCCCGGGGCCCCATCCCCGCGTCCCCTGCCCCGGGGCGCATCGGGGCAGCGCCGCTCACCCCGCCCTGCGCCACACTCACTGCTCTCGGGTTCCCAGCGCCGACGGGGCAAAGCCACCCGCCTCGGGACTGCCCTCCCGGGGCCGCGCCGCGAGCCCCGCGCCTCCGCCCGCGCTCATGCTGCTCCGCGCCCCGGACGGCCGTGTGGCCGCCATAGAGACGTGGCGCGGGCAGAGCGGACCGCGCGGGGGCGTCTCTAGGCAGTGGGAGGCCGCCCTCTCGACTGCTCCCGGCCCCCGCTGGAGCCGGGCTCCGCCTTCGTCCCAAGTCGCGGTCCCAGTCCGGGCCTGGGCCGCTGCGTCCAGGGTCGTATGCACCCCCTCCCTCGAGGTGCTGGCCCAGCGCCGCCGTATTTGGGGGCTGCTGTTTCTAAGGGATTGCTGAAGGTGCTGCGGCGGGCGAGCCACCCTAAAAGCCTCAAGCCGACGCTGCGCCGCCCGGCCGCACACAGCACCGCCTCTCCCGTCCTGGGCAGGTCTGGGAATCATTACTCGGCTTCCGGCGAGTTTCATTAGTGGCTGGGATTCTGCCTTGAAAATAACATGTGGCCTCTTCTGACGGCACGTCACTAGGTGGACATGGAGGTTTCAGGCCCGAGAAAAATGAATGCCTTACGACCCCACCCTGTCTCCAAATACACCGGTCCGGGGATCGGGGTGGTGTGGAAGAAAGAGTGCTGAGTGGGAGTCAGGACGCCCGGAGGCCTGTCCCAGCTCTGGCCCTCACCAGGCCCGTGGCCGCGTCCAAGCCTCCTCCCGCTGTGTGCAGCGGTGTCTTCACCTGTGCCTGGCTGCTCCAGGAGATTGCCCCCAACCAGTGACCTTGCCATTCCGGGGCCTCATCTGACTGCCCTTGGTAGTTGTGCAGTATAATTCGCGAGAGCTTACTCGCCCAAGGTCTGGGGAAGGGGGGATTCTGCAGCAGCGATGAAATACTGGTCCTTCAATGTCCTAGGCAAGGATCTCAAAGGTCCCTAGCAAGGCTGCCTTCCAACCAAATGGAATGTTTCCTAGGCCACGTTTCTGTTGACTCTGCAGACCGAGTCCCTAGACTCCAGTGGTTCTCCACCTTCCTCATGCCAGACCCTTTAATAGAGTTCCTCGTGTTGTCTATGGACATATCTGCATGTGGGCGGACCCCCTGGAGACGGATAAAGGAGCTGTGTCTGGGTTCCAAGACCATCAGAAATATGTGTTTTCCGATGGTCTTAGGCAACCTCTGTGAAAGGGTCGTTCGACCCCCAGGTTGAGAACCGCTGTGAGAGGTAAACAACCCCAAGGGTTGCCTTTCCAGCTCCCAGTAATCCCGATTAGGACCCAATGTACATGTCCTATACAAGACGCTCCGAGATATTCAGGCAATACGTGATAGAATACGGTAAAAGACAGAAGGGAGTGCCTGTGTGTAGTGATTAAAGAACCCACGAAAGAGCACAAATAGCCTTATTACAGAGTAATAAAACCACTGGATGCCATAGCCAATTAGTGCTGCCCTGGGCAGATGGTTGTTTTCATCTTTTCTAGACTCTAGATGCTAGAGAAAGCAAGCTTGAATGAGACTGAGTGGGTATTAAAAAGTTTTAGGTTATAATTAAGAAGCACCCATGAAAGATAAGGCCATCTGCAATCTGATGTCTTGCCAACGCTTAAGTTGTTTTTGCTGTGTGTGATGAATGCTATAAACACTTGTTGGTATGGAGCCCTGGAAAAACCCACGGTTTATACAGAGTCCCTTCTCTGGCTCCAGAATTACTCTGGCTGTTTAGTCCTGAAGGCTGTGTAGGGCACCACCTCTGATCTCCCAGGGCAACAGGGATTCTTGGTGGGGGGTAGAGAAGCTTAGTCCCAGCAGAGTTGCCCATCACCAGGGAGAAGCGGGAATGTGCCAAGGAACACAGGCCCTCCCACTGTTGCCTGTTACATGAGGCAGGAGGGAGGCTCTGCAACTACTCTGGGTTGCCTGTCTCCCTCTCACTCTGCCAATTCTGGGAGCACCGTACCCTGCTCACCTACAATATATCTGAAACTGTGCTTTCAAGAATTCTCAGCAGCTTCCTGGTTGGCAAGCCAAGGGTCAAGTTCCAGGCTTTACCTCTCTCTCTCTCTCTCTCTCTCTCTCTCTCTCTCTCTCTCTCTCTTTAATGTTTTTATTTACTCGTTAGAAAGAGGAAGGGAGAGGGAGAGATAGAAACATCAATGAGAGAAGCCTCAACATAGATTGGCTGCCTCTTGCACGCCCCCTACTGGGGATGGAGCCTGCAACCCAGACATGTGTCCTGACTGGGAATCAAAACAGTGGTCTATGCTCAATCACTGAGCCACACCAGAGGGGAAAGTTTTACTTCTCTTGATTGATTCACATCCTTTTTCAAAACTTCTGCTTTTTCCCCAGCACCACCTGCTCTTAAGTGAGCCTTTAAAAAAGAGAACTAAGTTTTGCGCAGTGGCAGTATCGTAGCCAATGAGGTTTATCCGAGGCGCGATTATTGCTAATTGAAAAAAGGGAACTAGGCACCCAGCTCGAGTTGGACTGCCAGAATTTGAGCCTTTACTTTCCCCCCTGTGACTATGGGCAAGTTCCTTAACTTCTCAGGGCATCCATTTGCCCATCCTCATAACAAGGATAATAATAGCACCTGTGCCATAGGGCAGCCATAGAGATTAAATGAGATAATTTCCATAAAATCCTACATGCCTGATGTATAAATGTTCAATAAATGCTACACCACCTTCTTCAACCATAAAATGAAGTATAACGGGTCTACTTCAGAGCGTTGTTAGCAAGATTAAATATGTCAACACACTCTTCATGCAAAGAGCCTAGAACAGGCCCTGGCCAGTTTGGCTCAGCGGTTAGAGCGTTGGCCTGCGGTCTGGAGAGACCCGGGTTCGGTTCCTGCTAAGGGCACATACTTCGATTGCAGTTTGTCCCCGGCCCTGGTTGGTCGTGCGGGTGGCAGCCACTCGATGTGTCCCTTCACGTCGATGTTTCTCCCTCTCTCTCCCTCCCACTCTATCTGTACAAAAAATGGAAAAATATCCTTGAGTGAGGATAAAAAAAAAAAAAGAGCCAAGACCAGGGCCTGACTTATACTCAATGTTCAGTAAATGTTAGCTATCCTTTTTACTATTAGTAATTTATAATCCCATTGTCTACCCTAAGCTCCAGGCTTCTATTGCAGTTGCCTAGATGTCCCTTGCTACATTAAACTCAACCTGTTCAAACCTGCTCCCACAGCCCCATGTCTTCCAACCCTCTCTTCCCTGTGTCCTTTATTTCATTGGTCCTTTACCATCCTACCATCATTCTTGTCCTCCTTCCCCCTCCCCACACAGCTCCTCCAGGTCTCCTCTTGGTTCCTGGGCTGAGGGACATTTTTCAATCCTGCCACCACTGCCTTGTCTTTTTCTGTGCCGCTCAGACTAACAGCTCACTAGAGCCACATATTTTGATACATTTGAAGATTGCTGACCGATCAAGGTGGGGTGTCAGGAATGAGTCCACGGTTTTCTGCCCAACTATCAGAAACCAGTTGTTTGCTTGGAAAGAGTGTGGTAAGAGTTTTGTGTAAGATCAAGAACCTAGTTTTGAACCAGAAAGATAGAATAAAGTGAAGAATAATGATTGGGAAAGTGAGTTTCTCCTCTAAAGTTCTTTCCCTTTGTTATAGTTTGTTTTCACATTAAATGTGTCTTCCCTTGTACCCAGACTCTGATCGCTGCTTATCACCTTCCCTGCTACCACCATGTCACTTCTAACCACCCCCAAGTGACCGTCATCCCACGTCTGGGTTATTGAAATACCTCCTTCTCTCTCTCCTGGCACTATATTCTTTTTTTTTTTTTTTTGGTATGTGCCCCTGGCAGGAACGGAACCTGGGACTCTCTTGGCACTATATTCTTGACATCGCAGCCAGAATGGTCATATGGAAATTGAAATCACATCATGTTACTTCACCATCAAACCCCAAACCATGCAACTGCCTGAATCATCTCCCTGCGTTCGTCCTTCTTAACAGCAAATGTTGGACTTGAACACTAATAATTACATTTGCAAAAACAAAAAAATGGTTTACACAACTACCAAGGTCTACACAGAAAAGGCAATGTCTGGGGTGTGCTGGGCGCGAGACCCACGCGTGGGTACGGAGCGGCGTCGTTCTGATCCCACACACCTGCACGTCTCAGCCATCACGCGCAGGCGCTCTAGCCTCCAAGCCTCATTGGCCGAAGACTTCATTTCCCAGGATGCCAAGGGGCGAGGCCGGCCGGAAGGCTGCGTGCCCTCCGCGGGGCATGATGGGGGAGTTGGAGATTTCCATCATGGCGGCTTCCATTTCGGGCTACACCTTCAGCGCTGTGTGTTTCCACAGCGCCAACAGCAACGCCGACCACGTAGGTGCCGGACCCCCAGCCCCGGCCACTGGGGCCTCCAGCCCCCGCCTTGGGCCAAGCTCGGGCCCCTTGCGGCTCGCTCCCCGTGCTCTCGGGCCGGTCCGAGGAGCCGGTGACCCGGGCTGCTCCCGCGCCGGGCGAGCTCCTGCTGCCCAGGGCTCCCACGCCCCTGGGCTGGGCCCCCTCGCTCGGTGCCTTCCGCCCGACCGTCCCGGGACAGCGGTCTCCGGTGTAACGGAGCTGGCCCGGCCGGCCGCTGGCAGTGTCAGAGGTCGCTTCGTGGAGCCCGAGCGGCTGCCCCTCCCTGAGTGTCAGGCTCGCAGACGAGCGAGGGGAGCCCGGGTCGGGAAGGGGCCCCGGCCCCCGGCCCCGCCGCTCGTCTCGCAGGTCGGCGCGGGGCACGACCCGGGACACCGTGACTGTCACTCTCCGTACTCGTTAGATGGGGTCGTGCGTTTCCTTCTGCGCTTTGGGACATAGACAACGTAAACGGGAGTGTTAGGTGCGGGGTCGGCCTGACTTGGAATCGCGCGTCTAGTTCTTGGGCAGATGTTCTGCGGCCGCGGAACTCAGTCGCGGTGAAATGGGGAAGTGACAGGCCGACGCGGGAGCGATCGGAACCTGCACAGGCTTCGGGCGCCAGCAGAGCGAGCGGAGCCTGTCTGCTTCGGTTGTCTTGATTTTACGGATTGTCTTTTCATGTCACTGGCCTCTGAGTGGAAATTCTTAGGTAATTTTTATCTGTAAGGACGTCTTTCATTTGCCCACCAGTTTGGGAGATTATTTTAAATGATGCTAGGAGTGAATGATTCAAATTCAGCAAGTAAGTGTGGGGTGTTTTTGTTTTGGTTTGGTTTTTTGTGGTTGTCATTACAAAGCAGATACACTGCAGAAGAAGGAATTGGATTTGGTTTGCTGTCTGCAGTCTTAGCTTCCATTAATAAAATCTTACGGAGAGGTGATTCCATTAGTAAATTGGATGGCATTGAGTTAATGTACCTTTCATGTCTCCAGTGCTAACGGTAGAGATTAATGATAAGAATGTACACAGCATGGGTTTTTCCAGTGTCTTTTGACACTAAGGCCTTTGATGCCACAACCAGCTTTTTAATAAGGTAATACAGCTCCATATGTAGGTGGTTTGTGATACTCCTAGGGTCCGTGGAAGTGTTAAATACTATTTATATAATGCTTCTTAACCTCTAATTTTTGGAGTGCCTAGCAATAGCACAGTTTATGTGTAGGACAAGATTATTGTAAGCAGCAGCAGCTACCTGTTGAAAAGTGGGTATGTGTTTCTACACAGGGCAGTGAGATGGCCATGTTACTTGGACTGTTATTAAATTAGTTTAAGAGACACCTCTTTAATATCTCCACTGTGCCAGGGATGGTGGCTAGACTTCATGGAAGCTTTCACCGTGACAGTAGTTTGCAACTGTATTGGATATGGCTATACCTATTTAGATTAACCTTGCCATAACTATATATGTGGAATAAAATTATTTCAATTTTATGTATTTTAAAGTCAGAGAACCAAGAATTTGCTTTTGTAGTACATTCGTATTTCGCCCACGTACGAAATTAGTTGTGGTTAGCAAACTTTTTCTATAAAGGGCCACACAGTAAATATTTTATTTAAAATTTTTAAATATGTTTTTATTGAGTTTTAGAAAGAGACAGAAATATCTGAGAACATCCATCCACTGCCTCCTGCACGCCCCCTACTGGGGATCAAGCCTGTAACGCCAGCATGTGCCCTGACCGGGAACCTGCAACCTCTTGGTGCAGGGGAGGTTGCCCAAACTAACAGATCTGCAAGGGCTGGGCCACAGTAAATATTTAAGGCTTTGGGAGCCATGTGGTGTCTGTAGCAACACTCAGCTCTGCTGTTGTGGGGAGAATGCAACTGTAGACAATAAATAAATTAGGGTGACTATTTCCAATAAACTTTATTTATGGACATTGAGATTTGAATTTCATATAATTTTCACATCACGAAATATTTCTATTTTAATTTTAATTTATTTTTTCATTGATTTTATACATAGAGGAGGGGAGAGGGAGAGAGAGAGAAAAAATCCGTGTGAGAGAGAAATATTGATAGGCTGCCTCCTGCATGAATCCCGATCATGCTGGCCCTGACTGGGGGTTGAACCCAAAATCTGGATATGTGCCCTGTCTGGGAATTGAACCTACCACCCTTCAGTACACAGGATGACGCTCCAACCAACTGAGACACACAGGCCAGAATGCTATTTTAATTCTTTTTTCACTCATTTAAAAGTACAGAAATCAGTCTGGCTGGTGTGGCTCAGTGGTTGAGTGTTGATACCCATGCACCAAGAGGTCACTGGTTCCATTCCTGGTCAGAGCCCAGGTTGTGGGCCTGAACCCCAGTGGGGGACATGCAGGAGGCAGCCACTTGATGTTCTCTCTCATCAATGTTTCTATCTCTCTCTCCCTCTCCCTGCCTCTCTCTCTCTTTAATATCAATAAAGAAAAAATTTATTTTTAAGTATAGAAATTATTTTTAGCTTCTGGGCTATACAGTAACAGCATTAGGCTGGATTCAGCCTGCACACTATAGTTTGCCTACTCTTGCTATAAAGTACCAGTGACTCAGGTAATCCCAGACTAGTAGATAAATAAGTATTTCATTTATACTTGGCTTTAGAATGTCTTGACATCACTGTTGACTTTTAGAAACTGAGAACGGTGGTAGAGTTGCCAGATAAAATATAGGACACCCAATTAAATTTGAATTCCAGATAAACAATATACTTTTTAGTATACGTATATCCCAGATATTATAAAATGTGCTGTTCGTCTGAAATGTAAATTTAACTGGGTGTATTGTACTTTTTTTTTTTTCCTTTATTGATTTTAGAGAAAGAGGGAGAGAGAAATAGAAACATCAATGAGCGAGACCATTGGTTGGCTGCCTCCTGCATGCCCCCCACTGGGGATTGGGCCCATAACCTGGGCATGTGCCCTGATCAGGAATTGATCCGGCAACCTCTTGGTGCATGTTGATGCTCAACCACTGAGCCACACCAGCTGGGCTGGTGTCTTGTACTTTCAGTTGCTGAATCCGGCGACTCTGGACCAGGACTTGAAGAACCTACAGATGTGCTCTTAAGGTCTAAAGTTCTGTAGGAATTTTCATTTGTTTTTTTACTTTGATTAAAAATATTTTAACCTGTTACAAAGTTTTCTCTTTTGTAATGAGAACTCTTTTTTTTTTTTTTTTTCTTAAATCCTCACCTGAAGATATTTTTCTGTTTATCTTCGAATAGACTTGGAGGGAGGGAGAAAGAGAGAAACATCGACGGGAGAGTGGCACATCGACGGGAGAGTGGCACATCGACTGAGTGCCTCCCATAAGACCCCGACCAGGGCCGGGGACAAATGGCAACCAAGGTACATGCCCTTGATTGTAATCAACCCACAAGTCATTGGCCCTTGGGCTGACGCTCTCACTGCTGAGCCAAACCACCCAGGGCTGTAGTGAGAATTCTTTTTTTTTATCCTGACCTAAGGACATTTTTCCATTTTTTGTTCTGATAGAGTGGGAAGGAGAGAGAGGAAGAAAGAGAGAGAGAGACAGAGAGAGAGAGAAACATCAACGTGAAAAGGAAACATTGAGTGGCTGCCACCTGCACAACCAACCAGGGCTGGGGACAAACTGCAACCGAGGTATGCGCCCATAGCGGGAACCAAACCTGAATCTCTCTGGACTGTAGGCCGATGCTCTAACCACTGAGCCAAACCGGCCAGGGCTGTAGTGAGAATTCTTAACTGAAAGACTTTTATTTATTTATTTAAAAAATTTTTTTTTTCTTTATTGATTTTTAGAGAGAGAGGAAGGGAGAAGGTGAGAGAGATAGAAACATCAATGAGAGAGAATATTGTTTGGCCACCTCCTGCATGTCCCCCACTGGAGATTGGGCCCACAACCTGGGTATGTGCCCTGACCGGTAATCGAACTGGGACCTCTTGGTGCATGGGTTGATGCTCGACCACTGAGCCACACGAGTCGGGCAAAAAAATTTTTTTTCTTTATTGATATTTAGAGAGAGAGGAAGGGAGAGGGAGCGAGAGATAGAAACATCAGTGAGAGAGAACATAGATTGGACGCCTCCTGCATGAAAGACCTTTATAAGATAAAACAGGCTTCTTTAGTCAGTGTTTCTCAAACTAGTAGTCTTGGACCCTCCTTTAGGTCTGAGAAAATTCTTTTCTACAGGAATCTCCATATGACTCAAGTTTGAGAAATGTCCTTTACATGATACGTTGGAGTTTTAGGACACTCTACTCCCCTAATCCAATACAGAAGCTATGCTATAAAGCATCTGTCTCTCCTCACCCCCACAGATTCTCACTTCCCAATAGGAATATTCTTAAACTAGGGACCTTCTGTGATTGATTTGAAGGATCAACCTAGGATAGAAAGGTATATAGTACAGGGCATTGTTTAAACAAATGTATTCATCCAGTATTTATTGCGCACCTACTAGGTGTTAGGCACTGTGCTAGGTGCTGAGATATAGCAGCACACAGTCCCTGCTCTCAGGAAGCTTACGTTTTCGTGGGGGATAGGCATTTCTTCATATAAATGTGTAATGTGGCAGATAGAAGACGAGGGAGAAAAATAATGCCGGCTACAGGGGACGGAGAGCCTGGTAGATGGTCTCTTCCCTTACATTGGCCAGGGAAGGCCCCTCGGATAAGGTCCATTTGAGTAAAGAGCCTACTGGAGGGGAGGAGTAAGCCATGTGGGGTCTGGGAGGAGAGTTCCAGGACTGCCTCTCTGTTTACCCTCTACAGGGAAGTTCTTTTGACAGTCAAGGCCTATGTTCTTCAACTGCAAGTACTCCAACAGTGGATTATGTGCGGAGTAATCCAGAATGGATTGTGGTTGCATCTGTTCTCCAAAGAACCTTTATTAAAGAAACACTTTCAGCCCTGGCCGGTTTGTCTCAACGGTTAGAGCATCGGCCCGCGGACCAATGAGTCCTGAGTTCGATTCCAGTCAAGGGCATGTATCTCGGTTGCGGTTTGTCCCTGGCCCAGGTCGGGGTTGTGTGGGAGGTAACCAATCGATGTGTCTCTCATATTGATGTTTCTCTGTCTCTTTCTCTTTCCCGCTTCCACTTTATCTGAAGATATTTGAAAAAAATATATCCTTAGGTGAAGATTAAAAAAAAACAAAAAACACTTTCAACCCTGGCCAGTTTGCTCAGTGGTTAGAGCGTCAGCCCTGGACCAATGAGTCACAGGTTTGATTCTAGTCAAGTGCACGTACCTTGGTTGCGGTTTGTCCCCGGCCCTGGTTGGGGTCAGGCAGGAGGCAACCAGTCGATGTGTTCCTTTCCCATCGATGTTTCTCTCACCCTCTCTCTACTCTATCTGAAGATAAACAGAAAAATATCCTTGCATGAGCACTAAAAAAAAAAAGAGGAAACATTTTCATGTGAGTGATAGGAATTTATTTGCTTAGATTCTAATTTCCCACACCAACTTATAAAAGGGCAATAATTGTGCGTGGTGTTAACTTATCCTTTTATCGTTAGCAGTGTTTTTGTTTAATTATTTTATTTTCTTTATTAATTTTAGAGAGAGGAAGGGAGAGGGAAAGAGAGACAGAAACATCAACTGGCTGCCTCCTGCATGCCCCCAACCAGTGATTTGGCCCACAATCTGGGCATGTGTCCTGACCAGGAACCGAACCGGCAACCTCTTGGTGCATGGGTCAACGTTCAACCACTGAGGCATGCAGGCCGGACTAATTATTTATTTTTTGTTAATCTTCACCTGAGGATATTTTTCCATTGATTTTTAGATAGAGTGGAAGCAGGGAAGAGGGAGGGAGAGAGAGAAAAAAAAAATCGATATGAGAGAGACACATTGATTGGCTGCCTCCCGCATGGCTCCAGCAGGGATTAAACCTGCAACCCAGTTTGTCCCCGGCCCTGGTCGGTTGTGCGGGTGGCAGCCACTCGATGTGTCCCTTTCACATCGATGTTTCTCTCTCTCTGTTCCTCTCCCCCCCGCCCCCCCCCCCCGCCCACTCTACCTGAACAAAAAAAAAAAAATGGAAAAATGTCCTCGGGTGAGGATAAAAATAAAAATAAAAATAAACCTGCAACCCAGGTACGTGCCCTTGATCAGGATTCGAACTTGAGACCCGTCGGTCCGAGGGCTGATGCTGTAACCGCTGAGCCAAACCCGCCAGGGTAGCAATGTCTTTAATACAATGGAATAAATTGTATGCTGTTTCAAGAAAACAAACTTGGAATATTTCTGCTTCCTGAGCTTTTTTGACATTTGTTATTTATTTATTTTGGGGTAATTGTTTCTTTATTTTTTTCCATCAATATTTATCCCCCGTATACCCTCTTCTACCTCTATCCACCCAACATTGGTTATTCTACTTATTAGGATTTAGGTGATGGATTCACTGTACTCATTGGTACTTCAGGGAAGACTTGAAGGGATGACCATATATTTCATCTTGTATGGAATCCTTTTTTCAAACTATCCAGTTAATAGGTATCTCATACTGCTTTGGTCTTACTTGTTGGTTTATAGGGTAGTGGTTCGCATTCCAAGCTTATTTGTTAAATTATTATTGTTAAAAGTATTATGTCCTAAATTTCTCTTAATTCCAGTAAAAAATCATCTTTATTTTTTGTTTGCAATAATTTTCTTTTAATTACTTTTAGGAAGGATTTTTGCTGGGAGAGGTAAGACAAGAGGAAACCTTTAGCATCAGTGACTCACAAATCAGCAACACAGAATTTCTGCAAGTCATTGGTAAGTAAGTTTATCACCGACCTCCGAAATTCTCTTTTTGAATATATTCTATTTGTTCTTTGGCCCTTAACTGATTTTAATCTAAAAGATTAGAAAAGTGCATAGACAACCACTAAAATCACAGTACCAGTTATTTGCACTGCTAAACAATATGAATGTCCTCACAAGTCAATGTAAACTTACAGTGCGTAGCTGTAGGTGTAGGTACGCCTAACCCACGAAGTAATCGGACTTCAACTGGGTTTCTGTGTGCTAGTGCACTTGGTAGTCTCTTCAAAACCACTGCGAACCTTGAGTTTGTAATTAGGCTGGCCCAGTGCCAGCATCGCCTCCTGTAATGAATGGGTGTGGTACGCAGGTCCTTTCTGAAGGGTCTGGCACGGTTGTTCACCCTTGTTTACATGAGATATTTGCCAAATTGTACAGCCTTTTTTTTTCTTTCTAATCCTCACCCAAGGACATGCTTGGAGAGGGGTGGGGGGAGCATCAGTGTGAGAGAGAACCATCAATCGGTTGCTTTCTGTATGCTTTCTGACTGGGGATCGAACCTACAACCCAGGCATATGCCCTGACCAGGAATCAAACCGGTGACCCTTGACTGCGTAGGACAATGCTCAACCCACGGAGCCACCTGGCAGGGCTTGTGCAGCCTTTTGAGGAGTCAGTCAGTCAGTGAGTCAGTTTGAGGGAGATTCTTAGGGAGGATGAAGGAGAATTTATAGATGTACTTACTCTTTTTGGACTAGTCCCCTTTTCATAAATAAGAATCCTAGTCCTGCGCTGGCTGCTTTGGCTCAGCAGTTAGAGTGTCAGCCCGCAGGCCAAAGAGTCGCGGGTTCGATTTCCATCAAGGACATGTCCCTTGGTTGCAGTTCAGTCCCCAGCTTCGGTCGGGGTCCTGCGGAGGGCAACCAAGCTCGCGCGTGCGCTCTCTCTCTCATTCCTGCCTCCCAGGAGTGTGGGGAGGGCGAAGCAAGTACACAGAAGTACTGGGCAGTGCAGGGGAGTGAGCGCTGTAAGAAGGGAACCAAGGAAACCCCGGAAACTGGGAAACACGCACCCGCACGTGCCTGCCAGCAGGTGGAATCAGTGAAAACTGATGGAGGTGACGTCAGGCCGGGGTATGCACTCAGAGAAACAGCAAGGAGCCTAAAACACAGGGGGCCTGGCCTCTTTCTGTGACCAAAATGCAGTTTGTGAGAAGGTGAGTGGTTTGAAATACTGCTGGAAGGTCAGGTCCTGTTGAGGCCAAGTCATCAATTTCAAGCCTGTTCTGACCACCTTCGAGTCCATGGGCGGGGCGCCAGGGTGAGGACTGAGGTAGGTTAGAACTGGGCAGGGCGGTGGAGAGACTGAGCTCCTAAAGTACCGAAACTGGAGCACCCACCCCCACAATAATGACTTGTTAAATGAAGACTCGATATGTGTGGGTTAGCTGTTCTCTCATTGTGGTTTTTGTTTGTTTGTTTTGCTTAATTCTTTAAAATCCTGAAATGGAGCCCTGATCGGTTTGGCTCAGCAGTTAGAGCGTCTGCTCGCGGACCAGAGAGTCCTGGGTTCGATTTCCGCCAAGGGCACGTATCTTGGTTGCAATTTGTACCTGGCCCCGGTTGGGGTTGTGTGGGTGGCAGCTACTCAATGTGTCTCTCTCACATCGATGTTTCTCTCTCTCTCTCTCTGCCTCCCGCTTTATCTGAAGATACATGCAAAAATGTCCTCAGGTGAGGATTTAAAAAAAAAATCCTGAAATGTAGAATTTGATTTCATTTGACATCTGTGCAATTATTTATTGTGGCATTTGGGTTTTCAAAATTAATTTGGTAGATGAAGGTGAAAATGCCACATGTACGTAACTGACAGCAAACTGTGCAAGAAAGACCTCTCTTGTCGGCATGATCACAAAAGTAGCATTTCTGATGAATAGTCTCACTGTCCATATTTATTTATTTACATAAAGTATCAACTTTTTTCTTTATTGATTTTAGAGCCAGAGAGGAAAAGAGGGAGAAAGAGATCGATTTGTTGCTCCTTATGTATCCATTCATTGGTTGCTTCTTATGTGTGCCCTGATCAGAGATAGAACCCAATACCTTGGTATATTGGGATGATGGTTTAACCAGCTGAGCTACCTGGCCAGGGCTCTGGCTGTTTACTTTTAATGAAATAGAATAGTGCCCTGATTGGGCAGCTCAGTTAGTTGGAGGATCATCCCATACACCAAAAAGGTTGCTGGTTCGATTCCCTGTCAGGGTACATACAGTAAACAACTGATCAATGTTTCTCTCTCTATTTCTCTCCCTCCCCTCTCCACCCCCCCCCCCGGCTCTTGCTCCCTCTCCCCAGTCAATGAAAACATATACTTGGGTGAGAATTAAAAAAAAGAAAAGAAATAAAATGGTCAAGTAATTCAAATTCTACGGCATAATGTAGCAATTCTTTGATTCATAAATCTTCTGGTTCTTGCAGTAGGTACCAGTTTCCATGTATGGAATGGAGGTGTACCAGTCAATAGAGCCTAATTAATATAGTGCCATGACAACCTTTAATTTATCATTTATATTCAGTTCATTATTTGAAATGATTATGGATCTCATGGACAAAGTGTTTGCTAATATTAGCTTAAATGTATTGTTATCTTTTTCTTTTAAAAGTAAGTACATATTGCCTGGCTGGTGTGACTCAGTAGATTGAGCATTGTCCCATGGACTGAGAGGTCCCAGTTGATTCTTGTTCAGTTCCTTGTCAGGGCACATGCCCAGGTTGTGGGCTCGATCCTTGGTGGGGGGCATGTAGGAGACAGCAGATCGATGTTTTTCTTTCACATTGAAATTTCTATCTCCCTTCCTCTCTCTCTAAAACAATAAAAATCAATCAAAAAAAAGTAAGTACATATTATGAATTAAAGACTTAAATGTAGGACCTGAAACCATAACATTCTCAGAAGAAAACATAGGCAGTAAACTCTGTGACATCTCTCTTAGCAACGTCCTTTTCGATATGTCTCCTCGGTCAAGGGCAGCAACAACAACAAAAATCAACACACGGGACTACATCAAACTAAAACATTTTAAACAGCAAAGAAAATCATCAACAAAACAAAAAGGCAGCCTACCTTGAGTATAGAGAAGACATTTGTTAATGATATAGCCAATGGGGGATAATATCCAAATCATATAAAAAACTCATAACAGCCCTGGCCAGTTTGGCTCAGCGGTTAGAGCGACGGCCTGCGGTCTGGAGAGACCCGGGTTCGGTTCCCGCTAAGGCCACGTACCTCGGTTGCAGTTTGTCCCCGGCCCTGGTTGGTCGTGCGGGTGGCAGCCACTCGATGTGTCCCTTCACGTCGATGTTTCTCTCTCTCTCTCCCTTCCTCTCTCTCCCTCCCACTCTATCTGTACAAAAAATGGAAAAATATCCTCGGGTGAGGATAAAAAAAATAAAAATAAAAAACTCATAACAATCCAACATCAAAAAACCACCCAAACAATTCAGTTTAAAAATGGTTAGAGAACCTGAATAGACATTTCTCCTAAGAAGATGTACATTACCAACAGACACATGGAAAGACGCTCGACACTAATTATCCAGGGAAATGCAAATCAAAACCACAAAAATATCCTCACACCTGTCAGAATGGCTATTATCGAAAAGACAACAAAGAACAAGTGTTGATGAAGATGTGGAGAAAAGAGAACCCTTGGAATGTATATTATGGAAAACAGCATGGAAGGTCCTCAAAAATTTAAAGTAGAATTGCTGCACGAAATAGCAATTCCACTTCTGGGTATTTATCCAAAGAAAACAGAAACATCTATTTGAAAAGATGTATGCATCCCTGTGTTCGTTGCAGCATTGTTTACAATAGTCAAGATCTGGAAGCAATCTGTGTCTATTGATAGACAAATGGATAAAGAAGATGTGGTACATATTGCAAAATGGAATATTATGCAGTCATGGGAAAAGGATTCAATCACCCTGGCCAGTTTGGCTCAGTGGTTAGAGCGTTGGCCTGCGGACCAGAGAGTCCCGGGTTCGATTCCCGCTAAGGGCACATTCCTCAGTTGCGGTTTGTCCCCAGCCCCAGTTGGGGTCATGTGGGTGGCAAGCACTCGATGTGTCTCTCTCACGTTGATGTTTTTCTCTCTTCCTCCCTCTCTCCGGCTCTATCTGAAGATAAATGCAAATAAATAAATAAATAAAATGGATGCAATCTTGCCCTTTGCGACAACATTGATGGATCTACAGAGTATTATGTAAAGTGACAAAAGGCAAATACAAACAAATAAAAAACAGAAACAGATTCACAAATGTAGAGAACAACTGATGAGTGCCAGAGAGGAAGAGAGGGTGGGGAAATGGGCAGAAAAGGGGAGGGGCCTAAGAAGTACTTATAAACTTCCAGTTATAAAGTAAGTAATGGGGGTGTAATGCACAATATAGGGATATAGGCAATAATAAGATGTCTGTGTACTGTGACAGGTGGTTACTAGACTTGTGGTCACTTGGTAAGGTATATAAATGTTGAATCACTATGTTGTAATCTGAAACCACTATAATACTGTATGTCAACTATACTTTTCAAATGAATGAATAAAGTCATATTAGACAATGTGAACCAGGGACTCTGGAAAACCTGTGCTGAAAGGCAAACAGGAAGCAGAGCACCGTGAGTAGTTTTTCATAGTAACAGCGAGACGACATTTGCTGGCATAGCTTAACCTCCAGAGTAAGATGTTTTAAGTAAAATAAATTGACCAAATATATTATTTGTTGAAAATGTGTGAATCCATGCACAGACATCTTTACCTGACTCTACAGTAAGGGGGACTTTATATACAATATCACAGTTTGGTTTTTGGTTTTTTAAAAAAAAATTTTCCCTTTATTGAATTTTAAAGAGAGAGAGGTAGGGAGCAGGGGAGAGAGATAGAAACATTGATAAGAGAGAAACATTGGTGAGAGAGAACATCAATTGGCTGCCTCCTGCACACCCCCCACAGGGGATCAGGCCCATAACCTGGGCATGTACCCTGACCAGGAATCGAACTAGGGACCTCTTAGTGCATGGGTCAACGCTCAACCACTGAGCCACACTGGCCGGACTACAATATCACATTTTGAACATGAAGTATCTGTCTTGTTTTTATTTATTTTTATTTTATTTTTTTACTATTTTCTGACCTAGAAATACAGATTTTTTTCTTTTTATCCTTACCTAAGGACATTTTTCCATTTTTGTTCAGATAGAGTGGGAAGGAGAGAGAGGAAGAGAGAAACATTGACGTGAAAGGGACACATCAAGTGGCTGCCTCCTGCACAACCCCAACCAGGGAGGGGACAAACTGCAGCCAAGGTACATGCCCTTAGTGGGAACCAAACCCGGGTCTCTCTGGACTGTGGGCCAATGCTCTAACCGCTGAGCCAAACCGGCCAGGGCTGTCTTGTTTTTAATACCTATTAATTTTAACTGTTGCTAACTCACTGGCAGCAGATCCTAGACAGCAGAAGAGTCGCCCTGGTTAATGAGGTGATGCAGTGGCAGTTATTGAGTGGAGGGGAAGGAGAGAAGAGACAGAGACAGGATGATCAAGGACAACAGTGTCTCCCACTAGGGATTTGTAAGGACCTGTGTGCAGAGACGCCATACACATGTGACAAGTCTACCATGTGGGTGCGCTCTGGAGGCCTGGGAAACGAGGATCCCTCGTGAGGCTGCCCTGCCAAAGGCCCACCTGTCAGCTAATGTGTCTGCCAGCCTCATTCTGATTGCAGCTTTATCATGCTGGAGACCATCGCCCGTTTTCTCCATCGAGTGGTTGGTTAAGTAATTGCAAAAAATCCTATACAAAAAAGCTCTGTTTAACTTCTCTGAGAAATACCACACGCTATCTAGAGCGCATCTCTAGTGCGCTTCTAATCCAGGCTGTAAATCATGAAAGAAGTCTGCTGGGGAGGATTGATGACGGGAGGTGTACTCAGAGTTCAGCATTTACTCCAGGGGTTTTCTTAAACAAAATATTCTTTCCTGTCCTGTAGATGCAGGGGTTTCTGGTTTTTCTCTTTTCCCTGAAGTAACGTTTTTGCTACAGATGTTTCACATTCTAATTACTAGAAGTATCTCTGAAGTAACTTAGGAAGGAACACTGTATCACGGTACACTGTATCGTTTTGGTGATAAAAGAAGGGCAAGTTTCTAGAGGAGGTTTTCTTGTTTGTATCGCTATGCAGCAGCCTCCTGGGCGAATGAGCTTTTCTCTCCTTTGGAAGTCTCGCATCTGTGCGTGTGTTGGGCAGCAGTAACAGCAGGACGGAGCTAAGCCCCATCTTTTAGGGTTGTGGTTTCATTTTAATTGAGTTAAAATTGCAGCCTGTAACTCTGGGCTGTGACATTTTAAAAAGCAGGTAACGAGTCGCTGTCCAGGAGAACGTAAGTATAGAATTGAATGGTAATTAGTATCATGGTCTTAAAGAAGCAAACCAGACCCTGAGCCCCCTGATGAGCTTGAAGAAATTGTTCACTCTGGTTAATCACAGCAATCTTTTCAGAGCTGCCTTATAAATAACGGTTTCCCTTGGTGCTGACCATCTTTGAAAGGGTTAATAGACTCCCAGTTTCCTCCTTTCTCCTTCGAAACACCTGGCCCGAGTTGTCATGAGGCCTTAGTAGGTTGTTGGTGGTAGGGTGGTTAAGGCCCTCTCTCCAAGCTGTCCTCACAGCTTTTATCCACTTGATTAAATGCTTCCAGGCAGTGGTTACTTTTTCTCCTGATGCCTTACCCAGGTGAGCTTCCAGGAGGGCACACTGGCTACCCGCTCCTGAATCCAGCTTCCAGGCGTGTGCTCATCACCCACGCTAATGGACACACAGCTGTGTACTCGCGTTTCCTTGGCTCTGAGAATGGCCCTGAGTTGGAATGTTAAGAAGATACAGTGCTGCCCTGAGCAGTGGTTAGAGCGTCAGCCTGCAGACCAGGGAGTCCCGGGATCGACTGCAGCCAAGGGCACATCCCTCGGTTGCAGTTCATCCCCTGCCCCAATTGAGGTCGAGTGGGTGGCAACCAATCAATGTGTCTCTCACATCGATGTCTTCCCTCCCACCCCTAACTCTGCCTGAAGATAAATGTAAAAATATCCTTGGGTGAGGATTAAAAAAAAAGATACAGTGCCTTACTAGTGTACAGGAGGCACCTGTTTGAAAGAGGAAAACTGTGTATTTATTTGTTTCATTTTTATTATTATTTTGTTAATCCTCACCCAAGGATACTGTTTTGTTGGTTTTAGAAAGAAAGAGGGAGAGGGAGAGAGAAACGATCTCTTGTCTCCTGTACTTACCCCTACCAGGGATTGAACCCGTAACCTAGGTATGTGTCCTGACTGGGAATCAAAATCAAACACACAGCCCTTCTGGTGTACGGGATGATGCTCAACCAGCAGAGCCACCTGGCCAGACAGGAAACTATATTGTCTGAGATTAAAACAAACAGCCTGGCCAGTTTGGCTCAGCAGTTAGAGTGTCGGCCCGTGGACCAATGAGTCACGGGTTTGATTCCAGTCAAGGGCACGCACCTTGGTTTGGGTTCATCCTAGCCCTGGTCGGGTTGTGCAGGAGGCAACCAGTTGATGTGTGTGTGTCTCTCTCTCCCCCCCTTCCCCTCTCCCCCCCCTCCCTCCCTCCCTCCTACTCTTTCTGATGATAAACAGAAAAATATACTTGGATGAGGATTTTAAAAAATGAGATAAACGAACAAACAAAATTGTATTTGTATATATATGTATATTTCCTGGGCTATTTTATAGTTGCCTACATTTTACATGGTTAACTAAAATGTATTTTCTCTTTCTAATTACAGAAATCCATAATCATCAGCCTTGTTCAAAACTTTTTAGGTAAGCCACATCCTTCTTTGTAGTTTTCAGCTCTTACTAAAAACTAATTGATTAAAAACTGGTGAATTTATGCCTGTAGCTATTATGGCTAGAGAGTCAGAAGTATAACTGAGGGCATCCAAATTCACTTATTTACTGAGTGCCAAGTGCGTGTGGCACTGGGTGAGCCTCGTTGACCCCCTCTGCTCAAGGCCAGCGTCAGCCTCGCCTCAGTGCGTTGGGATGGAGCCTGCCCGCCAGCCTCCCAGCAGGAGCTCGTCAGACACAGAAGGAAGGCAGTCAGCAGCACATGCAGATAAACTAAGTTAAAGGTGTTTTTAAGGGGAATAAAAAAATAGTAACTAAGAAAACATAAAACTTTCTTTTTGTGTTTATTTTAGTTAATATACACCAGTTGCATGTTATGACCAACTAAAAGACAGAAAGAGAAAAACATGGGTGGAAAGACATTCAGATGGAGACAGCAAATGGCAGAGACATCGGAGGGGCGAGGGTGAGGGAGCAAAAGGCCAGTATTTCCACACATTCGACTTCTGCTCCCGAAGCCCCAGCCAGGCCTCTGCCTTCTTGCTGAGCTCCGAACCCTCTGCCTGAGGCGGGCTCTATGGTGATGTTATCCCGTGTTTCTTAAGAGTCCCTGAGGCCCTGCTCTACCTTCCCTAAGCCAGGCAGTGCTGCGCACACGTTCAGTTCAGTGCCCTGGTCTGCGCCTGCTTGTTTGAGCACCTGCCAGCTCCTTGCACCTGGCTGTCCTGCTGTGCGGTCCCTGCAGCTTGCATGCTGCTGCCACTTAAGGGGGCCACTAGCCCCATGCACCAAGAGCCCTGAGGACTTTAGCAAGTTCACCCTCCCCCACCCCCAACACACACACACACACCCCATCCCCATCACTGCAGAGTTTGTCTTCGGGCGTGACGGCTGCCTGTGGACGAGGCCTCGGGAGCCAAGGAGCCCACCTGGTCTAGGTGCACACACAGCTGAGAGGGGTGGGGAGCGAGATGAGCAAGCAGCAGTCGCTCGGAGAAGAATCGCAGAGCAAACGGAATGGTTCGGGCCCCAGTCCACACAGTGCCTCTGTCTGGTCCGTGAAAGTGCCCTGTGGCCCTGACTGTCCAGAGCTTTGCTGGGCGTGCCCTGCCTGCCCCTCCCTCTGAGGAATTCCTTAATGCTCTGTCGGCAAAGTCCTACCAGAGCAAGAATTGACTTAGTTTCCATCACAGACTCGTAATTCTTAAAGCTGAAAGAAACCGTAGAAATCATCTCTCTGCTCCAAACTCTGTGTTTCCAGAAAGGAAACGAGAGCGGATGGTTAAGTGCCGTGCTGGAGATCACACAGGGAGCAGCAGCACTGAGCCGCGGCTGGTGTCTCCTGACTCCCGCACTGTTTCCACTGCGCCTCGAACTCCTTCCTGCCGTACAGGCCTGGGCCCGAGGTGTGGGCGGAGGGGAGGAAGGGCCGCCTGCTAGAACCCAGACCAGTGGTAGACAGGCCCGCAGCTCACGGTGCCTTCCTGCTCAGCACAGGACCCGCGTCAGACTGGGCTGCTTAGGGTGCGTTTGTCTGAAGCCAGCCAGACCTGGCTTCCAGATCCCAGCCTTCCAGCCACCAGCTCTGCGATTTGGGCCAAGTCCTCTATCTTCAGTATCTGTGTCTACAAAACTGGGAATAGTACTTGTTGGTTTGTCGGGTTAGACCAGTGCCTCCAGCACTGAGGCAAGAGTGGAGGAAAATGACGCAAGAAAGCGCGCAGCTGGCTTCTGGTTGAGCAGTCGGCCAGCGTTCACTTCCCTTCTCATTTCTCAGAAAATGAGCTCTGAGTTCTTTCCCGTGAGTAATTGATCCTTAGAAACAAGGAAAAGATGTCACAGCCGTTTGAAACCACATTTTCTAATTAGTTGCTATCTGCACCTCCCACATGTGGAAGTAATACCCCTTGATTGTGACAGTCTCTGGAGTATTCTTTGATGCCAGAGATACCTCCTATCAGCGAAGCATTTAGATTGAGTTCTCTTTATATACCGGTTAAAGACAATTCTGTCTTTATTGCCAAGACAGAATTGGGTCAGATGACCTGTAGACACATGTTGCTAAGTGTATCCATGTCACAATACCATGCGATTTTAATACAATTTTTTTTCTCTTTAAAAACAACAGTTTCTATGACTACGCGAGCAAAGTTAACGAGGAGAGTCTGGACAGGATTCTCAAGGACCGGAGGAAGGTAAGCTCTGCGGTGGCCACTGCGATGGGCAGTCGCCCTCTCTCCTCACCCGAGCCTGCATCCAGGAGGCTGTGAGCGGGCAGTGTAGCCTGATGTTGATGCATGTGACTCCGTTACCTGAGTGAAGCTGAAAGGGAACTTACAGCTGTGAGACGATGTTTACACTATGTCACTAGAAAAAAGCTTAGGTGTTCATAATATGACTGTTATGTAGAAATCAGAAGAAGGAAAAATTAACTATAATCCAAAAATTAATAATAGTTGAGTCTGGGTGGGGTCTTTTTTTTCCCTATATTGTAAATTTTTAAATAATTTTGTAAGTATTTTACAAAATGCATTAATTATATGACTTTTACCTTGGTATATAAACTCCAGAAAAAAGGACTGGTTGGTTATTAAACTATCACTTGAAGAAAAAAAGTACCAATAAAAGTTTTCAACTTGTTCAACAGAAAACAGAATGCCTTTGTTTAGAAACAGGTATTGCAGAAAAGCTTTTTCTTTTAGTCCTCACCCGAGGATATTTTTCCATTGATTTTTTTTTTTTTTTTTTATCCTCACCCGAGGACATTTTTCCATTTTTTGTACAGATAGAGTGGGAGGGAGAGAGAGGAAGGGAGAGAGAGAGAGAAACATCGATGTGAAAGGGACACATCGAGTGGCTGCCACCCGCACAACCAACCAGGGCCGGGGACAAACTGCAACCAAAGTACGTGCCCTTAGCGGGAACCGAACCCGGCTCTCTCTGTACCGCAGGCCGACGCTCTAACCGCTGAGCCAAACTGGCCAGGGCTCCATTGATTTTTTTTTGTATATATATGTGTGTGTATATATATATATAGAGAGAGAGAGAGAGAGAAGAAGGGAGGGATGGAAACATTGATGTGAAAGAAACATCAGTTGGTTGCCACCCGAATGACTCGAACCCAAGACCCTTCTGTCCATGGGCCAACACCGGCCAGGGTGCAGAAGAGCTGTTGAAAGAACCTGTGGATAGGAAATCATGGCATCGTGGGACTTGGTCCCTGAGGTGTCTGAAGAGGACGGCAGGGGTCAGGTGTGTGAGCGGCTTGGTCTCAGCACCTCGGGCGGCTGGAAAGGGAGACAGCAAAGCTGGGGAGAGAACGGGAAGAATGGGAGGTGTGGGCATAGGCTGGAAGGAAGGGCGGGCAGCTCTGAGTGAGAGCAAGCTCAGAAGGTGCTCGGTATGGGCAGTCGGACCCAGTGGCCTGCCCACCTGGGGGGAGGAGTTAGAGCACCGAAGGCATCCTGGGCCAGCTCTTCCCTTTGCAGTGACTGGCCCAGGAGCACACCTGCTAGAATCTCTTAGCCTATCCTTCCTCTCCCAGCTACCCCTTACCCCCTCATTCCATTTACTTTTATATTGTAGATAATGAATCTGTATTATACTTTCTAAAACTAAAATGTATTCCATGAACATTCTGGAGCCTGGCCGGTGTGGCTCAGTGGATTGAGCATCATCCCATAGACTGAGAGGTCCTGGTTCGATTCCTGGTCAGGGCACAGGCCCGGGTTGCGGGCTCGACCCCCAGTCGGGGCGTGCAGGAGGCAGCCAGTCAGTGTTTCTCTCTCACATCCATGTTTCTCACTCCCTCCCTTTCTCTCTTTAGAAAAATCAATAAAAGTGTTTTTTTCTTTTAATTCTTACGGGAGCACAGTTTCTAGAGCGCTCACTATGTATTAAAAGTTCCAGGAAATCTTTTTTTAAAACAGTTTAAAAAGTTTAAAGTGAGAAAAATGAATGAAGATTATCCAGAGGAAATCTATAAAAGAAAAAAGAAATCCACACACGGCCAGGAAATAAATGAAAAGGTGTTTAACCTGTATCAGGAAGCACAGACTGAAGCACTATGAGACTTCCCTGGCCGGGCCGCTCCGTTGGGTGCGGTGCCGTCTCCTGCACCAAAAGATTTCGGGTTTGATTCCCGGTCAGGGTGTCTGGGAGACAACCAATCGATAATTCTCTCTCACATCCATGTCTCCCTCCCTCCCTCCTTCCATTCCTCTCTCTCAAATCAATAGCTGTATCCTTGGGTGAGGATAGGAAAAAAGAACAACAATGTGACACTATTTTTTGCCCATCAGATTGGCAAAGCGTGAAAGGGTTGCTAGCAGCCAGTGTTGGCAAGGCTGTGGGCAGGGAGCTGGAGCTGGTGGGCATGTAAGCTGATACGGACATGTAGAAGGAGAGTGTTGTAATAATAGTCTTAAACATGCAGTGTCACCCGAGGAATCTGGTCCAAGTAAATCCTAGCATCTAGGCACAAAGATAGGAAAGACTGGCACTACTGCCACATCACTCTGCGCCAGGCCAGGCTCTCCGGCTTTCCAGGTAGCGGCCCATGTAGGCCTTGCAGCAGCCCTCGAGGTACATTGCTGCTATCATCAGCCCCACGCTACCGCTGAGGCAGCTATGGTTCCGTAACTTGCTTAAGGCCACCACAGTAAGCGTGGAGCCAAGGCTCAGACCCAGCAGTTTGGCCTCTGGGTGCAGCGGGCAAGGATGTTTGTTGCATCTTGGCTTAATAGTGACAATTTTGAAAGCAATCTAATTGTCTCCCAGTGGGAAATGGTTAAGTGAATTACCTCCATACGATGGGATATGAAGCAGCTGTTAAAAAGAATGAGGGAGCCCTGCTGGTTTGGCTCAGCAGTTAGAGCATCGGCCCGTGGACCAATGAGTCATGGGTTCGATTCCTGTCTAGGGCATGTACCTCAGTTGCGGTTCATCCCCAGCCCTGGTCGGGTCGTGCGGGAGGCAACTCTCTCACATTGATATTTTTCTCTCTCTCCCTCCCTGCCTCCCCCTCTATCTCATGATAAATAGAAAAGTATCCTCAAGTGAGGAATTACAAAACAAAAAACGAGGGAGCCCAGCTGGTGTGGCCCCAGTGGGCTGAGCGTTGTCCCATGGACTGAGAGGTCACGGGTTAGTTCCCAGTCAGGGCACATGCCCAGGTTTCAGGCTTGATCTCCAGTGCGGCGTGCAAGAGACAGCCAGTCGATGTATCTCTCTCACATAAATGTTTCTCTCTCCCTTCCTCTGTCTTTAAAAAAATCAATAAAAATATTTTAAAATAATAAATAAAAAGAACGAGAGAGGTTCTCATGTAATGACAGAGAGAGGTCTCTAAGTTAATGTTAAATGAAAAAGGAAATAGTATAATTTGGGCTTATTAAAACAAGTCGGAGAGAATGTGTAAATGTACAGATAAAGATCTGGCAGGAAGCCACGAGACCTAAAAGTAGTTGCTTTGGGAGAGGGAGCCCTGCTGGCGGAGGGAGACTATTTGATGGCTCTTTGTAATGTATTTTACAATTGAAAGTACATTTATTTTGAGGAGATGACCACATAAGTTATGTAAATGTCTAACCACTGTGCTGAATACCTAGACTAATACAATATGGAATGTCAGCTGTAATTGAAAAAAATTTTTTTAATTAAAAAGGAAAAAAGAAAAGAAACTAAAAAAAAATTACTGTTATGTAAACTGCTAGGTAGGTTTTTAGTAGTAGATAGGGACACATTTCCAAATCAATTTGGGAGTTTTAAAACTGGATTCGCACCCAGCTGGTGTGGCTCAGTTGTTGACTTTCCACCCATGCACTAAGGTGTCACCGGTTCAATTCATGGTCAGGGCACATGCCCAGGTTGTGGGCCCGATCCCCAGTGGGGGGCATGCAGGAGGTGACCAATCTGTGTTCTCTCTCATCACTGTTTCTATCTCTCTCTCCCTCTCCCTTCTCTCTCTAAAATCAATAAGGATAAAATATTTTTAAAAAACTGTATTTGCTCCCTGGCCGGTTTGGCTCAGCGGTTAGAGCGTCGGCCTGCGGTCCGGAGAGACCCGGATTCGGTTCCCGCTAAGGGCATGTACCTCGGTTGCAGTTTGTCCCTGGCCCTGGTTGGTCGTGCAGGTGGCAGCCGCTCAATGTTTCTCTTTCATGTCGATGTTTCTCTCTCTCTCCCTCCCTCTCCCTCCCACTCTGTCTGAACAAAAAATGGAAAAATGTCCTCAGGTAAGGATAAAAAAAAAAGTAAATAAAAAGTTAAAAAATAATAATAAAATAAACATTTATGTATTCCTTTGCAATTAAAGATAGGAATTTTCTAATTCAATTTCCTTGGAAATTTTGTTTTATTTGTTAAGGGCAAGAACTGTATTTTATATTTCATTGCATTTCCTGTGGCATCATATGTATAATAAAATCTCTTTAAGGATTTTCTCAAAAATCCAGTCTTCTAGCATAAAAGCAAAGATGGCATGTAATATTTAGATGACTAAGAAGCTTTATAGTTGAATCTAGTTTGGATTTTTAACCCCCCAGGGAAGGCACATTTGAAATGTTAGGCTTAAAAACACATGTGTACTTTAAACAGCACCTGACATGGAGAAGATGTTTAATTACTCTCCACTCTTTAAGAAAGTGATAACGGGGACTTTTCACAAATTGACTCTGCAAGGCAGGCTTCACTCGGTCGCTGATGCTGAAAAGCACATCTTTAGTAGCTAGGTTTGGGCTGTGATGAGAAGTTATGGATATCTGTCCCTAAAACCTTGTCTCTGCTGAAGTTGCACGGTTTTCCACAAAGATGTTCCTCTGTACTCTGTGAATCAGCGAGTGCTTCATGAGGACAGCCCCTGTTCCCGCCCTGCTCGGGTCTCTGCAGGGGTGCAGGGGGAGTAGCAACACACCAGGCCTACCCAGGCCCCAGCTCCCACGTTCAACAGAGTACCGAGCTGTCTAGTCCAATAGGTCATGTTCCTGGATATCCATAGCTCTGGCCAATTGATAGCTTCTCTTATCCGCTTTTTTTTCCTTTATTGATTTTACAGAGAGAGAGAGAGAGAAACATCAGTGAGAGAGAACATCGACTGGCTGTCTTCTGCATGCCCCTCACTGGGGATTTGGCCCACAACATAGGCATGTGCCCTGATCGGGGATCACCCAGCGGCCTCTGAGAACATGGGTCGATTCTCAACCAGGGAGCCACACCACACCACTTCTTTTTTCTTTTTAAGGAAAACTGCTTCTTACTTTTTTACGATCGCCGTTGTGGGACAGTTCACAGTGAATGTGCAGCGGGGTGAGACAGGCCCCAGGTCTGGGCTGTCGCTCAGGAGCTCTGACCTTGGACAGACATCTCTGTGAGATTTAGGCTGTCTGGAGTGACTGGGTCTTCTTTTTATTTAAAGAATATCAGAGTTAGCCCTGGCTGGTTTGGCTCAGCAGTGAGAGTATTGGCCCACGGACCGGAGAGGCCCGGGTTCGGTTCCCGCGAAGGGCACGCACCTGGGTTGCAGTTTGTCCCTAGCCCCGGTTGGAGTTGGGTGGGTGGCAGCCACTCAAGACACATCGATGTTTCTCTGTCTCTCTTCCTCCCTTTCTCCCTCCCACTCTATCTAAAGATAAACGCAAAAATGTCCTCAGGTGAGGATAAAAAAATAAAATTTAAGCCCTGGCTGGTATGGCTCAGCGGTTGGAGCGTCGGCCTGCAGTCCTGAGAGACCCGGGTTCGGTTCCTGCTAAGGACGCGTACCTTGGTTGCAGTTTGTTCCCGGCCCTGGTTGGGTCATGCGGGTGGCAACTACTCGATGTGTCCCTTTCACGTGGATGTTTCTCTGTCGCTTTCTCTTCCTCCCCGCCCCCCACCCCAGTCTAGAACGTAAAAATGTCCTCAGGTGAGGATATAAAAATGAATTAATTAAATTTAAAACAAAGAATGTCAGAGTTATTTGCTTCAATGTGACCTGAAGTTGTGCTTATGCTCAGCAGGACTACATGAGGGGAGCACTGTTGTCCCCGCATTTCCTGGCAGTGATTCGAGCTCAGGGGAGGAAAAAAACATCACTCAGCTCCCAGGTTGTTGTGATCATTGGTTAAAATGTCATTAGCTGGAGGCCTGGCCCAGGGGCTCAGCACAGCTTCCTTCCTATGGGAAAAAGTGCCAGCACTTAATCTAAATTTACCGTTAACTTGAAAATGGCATAATTTTAAACTACCTTTTCATCTTAAAACAGGATTGTCACTCAGTTTATTTCAAAGACAGAAGCTATATGAAGATTATTTTTCTAATAAAAAATTTACATTAATTGTCTCTACAACAGAGATTTCAAACTTTAGTATGCACAAGATAAAACTCAAGAACTTATCTTAATTTCAGAATCCTGGCTCTACTCATAGAGGTTCTGATTCTGCAGGTCTGGGTGGGGCCTGGGAACAGTGTAGCAGGTTCCCAGATTCTCATAGGTCGCCTGTCCTCCAGATGTCCAGCAGATCACATCAGGAGAACTGTTCTTCCAGAGAACATTGGTTTAATTCACTTAGCCAGGTTAGTCAACCCATAGTTAGAGCTGACAAAGCTACACTTGAAACAGCACTGTGTCAAGGTCTGCTTGCCATACAATAAACTGCACACACACAGAACACACTTTGATGAGCTTGGAGGTGCATATACACCTGTGAAGCCATCATCATCGTCCTTAGCTAATGACCATGTCTCCTTGGGCCCTTTTCTACCCCCACCCCCCACCCCAAGTCAGCCATCGAGCTGCTGTATGTCTCTAGAGATTATTTTTCATTATCTAGAACCAGAACCCTATCCCTAGAGCATAAATTGTTCTTTTTTTTGGGGGGTGTCTAGCTTCTTTCACTCTGCATAATTATTTTGGAATTTATCTGTGTTGTATACACCAGTCATTTGTTGTTTTTATTAACGAGTAGGCATTCAGTGTGTGGTCTGCCCTGTTGATGGACAGTTGGGTGGTTTTCCGTTTTGAGCATTTACACGTAGAGCTGCTTTGAACATTTGTGTACAGGTGTTTGTATGGATACATTCAGAATGAAACTGATAAAATTTCATGCAACTGAATACTTCTGTCCTGTTTCCTTTGCAGAAAGTCATCGGGTGGTACAGGTTCCGGCGGAACACACAGCAGCAGATGTCGTACAGGGAACAGGTTCTCCACAAGCAGCTCACCCGCATCCTTGGGGTGCCGGACCTCGTCTTCCTCCTCTTCAGCTTCATCTCCACTGCCAACAGTTCCACTCATGCTTTAGAATACGTTCTCTTCAGACCAAATCGAAGGTAGAGGAAGTGTTCCCACCGATCTGACCTAAACAGGAAACATGTTGGTACAGTAACTGAGATTTATGACTTTGAAGTGTGCATTTGATAGCATCTTTAAAGAAGAGTTTTTATAATTCTCTTTTAGCTAGTTTTCTTTGTAGTTAGAGAAGGTATTTTTCTGTTAGTTAGTTGTATAAATAAAATTGTTTTTGAGTCAAGAAGCATTAGCAAGTGCAGCCGGTGTGGTTCAGTGGTTGAGCATTGATCCATGCACCAAGAGGTCGCTGGTTTGATTCCCAGTCAGGACACATGCCCAGGTTGTGGGCCTGATCCCCAGTTGGGGGCATGTGGGAGGTGGCCAATTGATGTTCTCTCTCATCGATGTTTCTCTCTCTCTCTCTCCTTCCTTCCTCTCTCTCTCAAATCAATAAAGAAAAAAAAATAAAATAAAAAAGAAGCATTAGCAAAACTTGTTAATTATGTACAAATTCTTATAGGACTAAATAACTGGAAATCATTATTTGCTTCTCCATAATCCATTATGTAGAAATACAGTTTTATTGCTCTGGAAGTCTGATTGTAATTTTAAAGTATAGATTTCAAAGACAGAATTGTAAGATTGACCCACCTACTGGTTAATGAGGGTTTTGCATTGTGAGCTTCTTTTTTTTTTTTTTTTTATCCTCATCCAAGGACATTTTTCCATTTTTTGTTCAGGTAGAGTGGGAAGGAGAGCGAGAGAGAGAAACATCGATGTGAAAGGGACACATCGAATGGTTGCCACCCACACGACCCAACCAGGGCCGGGGACAAACTGCAACCAAGGTACATGCCCCCAGCGGGAACCGAACCCGGGTCTCTTCGGACTGCAGGCTGACGCTCTAACCGCTGAGCCAAACCGGCCAGGGCAGATTACATTAATTTATCAGTAGCATTTCTTGAGCACTCACACCCTCCCCAGCACCCTGTTAGTCACTGTGGGGATGCAGAAGACAGGGCCTCTGCCCTCAAGGAGTCTACAGTCACGTGTCTACTTCAAGGGAAGGACAGAATCCCTAATTCGTGCGTCCTCGGGTTGTCTGTGGAAGCAGGTGCTTGGTGAGACCTGCAGTTCCCCGGTGCAGAGGCTTGGACTCCTGTTGCCATGGCCATTCCTCAGCCTGAGCAGCAGGGTTAACGTGATCCCTCCCAAATCTCCCCGCAGGTATAATCAGAGGGTATCCCTTGCCATTCCCAACCTAGGCAACACCAGCCAGCAAGAGTATAAAGTCTCTTCAGTGCCAAATACTTCTCAGAGTTATGCCAAAGTTATCAAAGAACATGGGTAAGTGGGAAGGTAAAATGAAAGTTCTTCCTTTTGTTAAGATTTGAAAGGTTTATGGAGAAATGTGAAATCAAGTTTGATGTGTTTGAAATGGAAACATGCAGTGAGGTCAATCTCTCTATATCAACATTTCATTCTTATTGAAAAGATAGTTTATTTTTACAACTACTTTTTTTAATCACTTGCCGCAATTGTTTTTGTAATTGATGTAAAAGTTTGGCTAGAGTATGTGTATTTCTGAGATCCTAAAAACGAACGGTGATCACTAAGAAATGGGTAGCTTTTATTCTTTTTAAAATTGTCTTAGTCACGTGGGTTCTTTTTTCATTGTAGCAGTGTGAATATTGTTACTGAGACATTGTCACCTTGGAGCTGCAGTATTTAAGTACTAGATGGAGGTAGAAGGGTTAGGAAAATGTCTTTCAGTTTCAAAGCAGTTGTGATTTTTGTGACATCTCTTTCCTTTCTGTTTTCTAGTACTGACTTCTTTGACAAGGATGGAGTAATGAAAGACATCAGGGCAATTTATCAGGTTTATAATGCACTTCAGGAGAAAGTACAGGTAACTGACTTCTTTCCTAGTTTGGATCTTATTTGCATTGCCCAGATGCTTTTAATGTTACTTTAATTTTTATATTCTTCCAACTGAGAAATGAATTATGGTCCACAAGTCAGAATGTACTTTCCCAAAATAGTATCAGAAGCATGGAGCAGTTGCCATGCCAGCCTGCAGAGGCCTGTCTGCGCCCTCCGTGCCTGCGGTGCACTCTGAGCAGGGTGTTAGTATCACTGGTTTCGGTGCTGTGACCCAGTTCTAACAGTGTCATCTCTCGGGAAGTGTGTCCGAGGTCACAGCAGGACTGCTGCGAACACAGCTCTCATCAGCTGCGTGCTGAGTAGAGGCTGCACCACGCTGGGAACAGCCCTGCCTCCCCTCTCAGTCCACGCACTGTGCCCACCGCCTCCGTCCGTGGGAGGCTCACAGCGGAGCCTGTTCATTCCTAGTCGTTCATGCAGCAGGTGTTTATGCAAACAACTCCCACCGGCCAAATGCTGAGCGAGGCGCTAGCTGCGCTTTCCCACTTCTTTGCATCACCCCTGACGCGTTCAGACGAGCAGTTTGCTCTGAACCCTAGACACAGGAGAGGCACTAGGACGAGGAGGAGGGTGGTGGAGCTGAAGAAGCCTCCCGGGCCTGAAGAAAGATTCGCTTTGGGGAACAACACCCCAGCAGTAGAGGGAGAAGGAGGGCAGCCACTGAGAAAGAGGAAAGCAGACTGAGTTCAGCCGGGGCAAAGCAAGAAAGCATCCAACAGGCAGTTTCCAGTGTCCATGTCCCAGTTAGGGTCACAGAGCACCGAGCAGTGTGGGGAACCTTATACGGCCCACTGGTGCTGGCCTCCTTTCTGCGGTTTCTGCTGGGGAGGGGCGTGCCGTGCGAGCAGCGTCCGTCCTGAGCCCTGACCATGCTGGTTTAGACTGAGCACTGTCCCGCGGACCTCAGTGGCCGCCACACGTTCACTGCCGCCTGCATACGGCCTGCGCTGCAGCACGGCAGGACGAGGGCGCTGGCGCAGGGGCTCAGTGCACAGACGTGATCGCAGACAGTTCTCTTCGATCCGGTCTTGACCCGGAGGCTTTTCTTTTTCAGCTCTCCCGAATCACAAACATTCTGTCGTCCGATTTGTGACTGTGTCATAAACAAAAGTCGAAAGCATCTCATTCCTGTCTTCTCTTTTGTTCATCCTTTGTATGCTAGGTTGATACAAAAATTTGCTTTGCATTTCAATAAAAGTTAATAATCCATGGAAAATATAGCTCCCAGCTTACCCTTATTGTTCAAGAATCTGTAAGCTAAATAGCATAATCATCTTAACAAAATTAAAGCAAGTCCATGAATAAGAGTCCTGGTCCCTCGGACCCTCGTGGGTGTGCTCTCCCTCAGGAGTCGGCTTCCTAACCTCGATCGGGCTATGAGGACCCGGTTCCCGGGGTGCCCGGGCCGAGGCCCAGCGTCTTGTCGTTGTCCCCTCAGGCAGTGTGCGCCGACGTGGAGGAGAGCGAGCGCGTGGTCGGATCTTGTGAGGCGGAAGTGAGCAGATTGAGAAGACAAGTCACTCAGAGGAGAAACGAAAAGGAACAAGAGAGAAGTGAGTTTCCTGTTGATCTTACTATTCAGTGTCGGGGAAGGGTGTGGTTTTGTTTTTTTATCCTCACCCGAGGACATTTTTCCATTTTTTATTCAGATAGAGTGGAAGGGAGAGAGAGAGAGAGAAACATCGATGTGAAAGGGACACATCAAGGGGCCGCCACCCACACGACCCAACCAGGGCCGGGGACAAACTGCAGCCAAGGTACATGCCCTTAGCGGGAACCGAACCCAGGTCTCTGTGGACCGCAGGCTGACGCTCTAACCGCTGAGCCAAACCGGCCAGGGCAAGGGTGTGGTTTTAAACAGCAGATTATACTATGAATTACACACATCCTCCTACTCTCCTTCAGCCCCAAGGTAGGCTGTTTGGGAGCGGGCATCCACTTTTCTTCAAGCTTTTTCAGAAGAAAAGTGCTGTTTTTCATGGTACCTGCTGCAGTCTCTGACAGTGGAGGAAAAAGAAGGCCCCAGGTAGAAAGGGTGCCCAGGTTCGAATAAGTCCGAGGATGTGATCGATGCTGACTGCACACGCTGGCCGCTGTGCTCAGCCGCCGGCCTGCCCCGCGGGCCCGGGCCCGTGCTCTGCAGCACGTGAAGGCGCCACGCAAATGCTTTTAACTTGATGTTTAGCTCGTAGTCAGGGTCACAGCAAAGGATTGAAATGTCTGTTTATTGGAAGCTGTGATGATGGATACCGTTACCCTCAAGGGCCAGCTGCTGGATGAGAATCAGGCCTGAGAATCTTACTTCCGGCATGGTGACAGACACGTTGGCGGAAATGCCACCAGATTCCGCGTTTGTTAATAACATGCATAGAATGCATGGCAAATAGTGTCACGTGTCAGAGAGAAGGGTGGCCAACCTTTTCTAATTTAATACAATATTTGGAAATCAATTAAAATGTAATTTATATTTCCAAGTAAATGATGACTGGTTCATTTCTACTATTAGAGTTTTCAAGAAATAGTTAGAAACGCAGCTGGGTTTATGCACAAGAATGTTAGCCACAACTGTATAATTCTGAAATCTCGGAAGCAGCCACTCAAGGAGCCGAACAAACGGCCGTAGAACAGTGAGCGAGCGTGGTCTGTGCTGGGCACTGCGCAGCCGCCCGGGTGGTTTCCGGCGACATGGGCGAGCCCAGGACACAGCCCCTGCGAAACACTGGGTATGAGGTGGGGGAGAGATGGTCTTAGCTACGTTAAAATATACACATACACAAAACACACACATCCAACTGGACGATCAAAGTGGGCTTCAGGAAATAAGTGGGGGCCTGACCCCTGAAGTTTATCTTTCTTTAAACACCAAATCTTGGGATCTTTTCACCAAAATTTTAAGTATTATCTGGGTGATAGAATTGTGGAGAATTTTAATTTTCTTTGTTCTTTTCTAAATTTTGTTAAAGTATTTATCATTTTTAGAATATAAAAGGTATAATTTGGAAAACTCTGATGTGGGCTGTTCAGAGTGCTCGTGATTGGCCCGACACCTGGGAAGACTGGCCACCTGACAGGGTGTTGGTTTCCGAGGAGAAAGTGGTATATGTGTGTGCTGTGACAGACGGTTATACAGAAGTGCTTTTGTCCCTGGCAGGGTAGTAGCTCAGTTGGTTAGAGCATTGTCCTGACACGCCAAGGTTGCAGGTTCAATCCCCGGTCAGGGCACATACAAGAAGTAACCAGTGAATGCACAAGTAAGTAGAACAAACAAATCAATGTTTGTCTCTCTCTCTAAAAGAAAAAAGGAAGTGTTTTTTTTCTTTTTTGAATAGTTTATTGATTTTTAGAGAGAGAGGAAGGAAGAGGGAAAGATGGAAACTTCACTCAGCTGCCTCCCACACACCCCATAGTGGGGATCGAGCTTCAGCCTGGGCACGTGCCCGACTGAGAATAGAACCAGCGACCTCCTGGTGCCCTGGATGATGCCCAGCCGCCTGAGCCACGCCGGCCAGGGCAGAGGTATGTTTTTGGATGTGAGATTTGTCAAAGAAAAAACTCACATTCTGGTGACTGCCGAGGGTGGTAAGGACTGTTTTCTTCGTCCTGTGTCCACACTGTCTTGAGCAGTGAGCAGCAAGTGAGGGAAATAGGATTTAGGGGTCAAAGACCTGCACTTGGAGTGTGTGGCCCACTTCTAGCTCTTCCCCTTTGTGAAGTCACAACCTTTTTGAACTCTGGGGGATTTTTTTGCCTATGTAATGGAAACAATACCAATAATGATGCTAGTACTTCAGAAGGCTGTTTTGAAGCTTAAATGAATTAATGTGTCTGAAAATATTTTGTAAATTATGATGCAATATGCAAATGTAAAACAGTTAATAGTAATAATCAGTTTCACTGCTTTGTTGCTGTTTCCCAGAACTGTCAGGTTGGCTGGTTCATGCACTGAGATGCCCAGCTGGGAAAATGCAGACAGGGCCACAGCTAGTGCACCGAGATGCCAGCTGGGAAAACGCAGACGGGGCCACAGTTAGTGCACCGAGATGACAGCGGGGAAAATGCAGACAGGGCCACAGCTAGTGGACTGAGATGACAGCTGGGAAAACGCAGACAGGACCACAGTTAGTGCACCGAGATGACAGCTGGGAAAACGCAGACAGGGCCACAGTTAGTGCACCGAGATGACAGCTGGGAAAACGCAGACAGGGCCACAGTTAGTGCACCGAGATGACAGCTGGGAAAACGCAGACAGGGCCACAGTTAGTGCACCGAGATGACAGCTGGGAAAACGCAGACAGGGCCACAGCTAGTGCACTGAGATGACAGCTGGGAAAATGCAGACAGGGCCACAGCTAGTGCACCGAGATGACAGCGGGGAAAACGCAGACAGGGCCACAGTTAGTGCACCGAGATGACAGCTGGGAAAATGCAGACAGGGCCACAGTTAGTGCACTGAGATGACAGCTGGGAAAATGCAGACAGGGCCACAGTTAGTGCACCGAGATGACAGCTGGGAAAATGCAGACAGGGCCACAGCTAGTGCACCGAGATGACAGCTGGGAAAATGCAGACAGGGCCACAGCTAGTGCACTGAGATGACAGCTGGGAAAACGCAGACAGGGCCACAGTTAGTGCACCGAGATGACAGCTGGGAAAACGCAGACAGGGCCACAGCTAGTGCACCGAGATGACAGCTGGGAAAACGCAGACAGGGCCACAGCTAGTGCACTGAGATGACAGCTGGGAAAATGCAGACAGGGCCACAGCTAGTGCACTGAGATGACAGCTGGGAAAACGCAGACAGGGCCACAGCTAGTGCACTGAGATGACAGCTGGGAAAACGCAGACAGGGCCACAGTTAGTGCACCGAGATGACAGCTGGGAAAATGCAGACAGGGCCACAGCTAGTGGACTGAGATGACAGCTGGGAAAATGCAGACAGGGCCACAGTTAGTGCACCGAGATGACAGCTGGGAAAACGCAGACAGGGCCACAGCTAGTGCACCGAGATGACAGCTGGGAAAATGCAGACAGGGCCACAGCTAGTGGACTGAGATGACAGCTGGGAAAACGCAGACAGGGCCACAGCTAGTGGACTGAGATGACAGCTGGGAAAACGCAGACAGGGCCACAGCTAGTGGACTGAGATGACAGCTGGGAAAACGCAGACAGGGCCACAGCTAGTGCACCGAGATGACAGCTGGGAAAACGCAGACAGGGCCACAGCTAGTGCACCGAGATGACAGCTGGGAAAATGCAGACAGGGCCACAGCTAGTGGACTGAGATGACAGCTGGGAAAACGCAGACAGGGCCACAGCTAGTGGACTGAGATGACAGCTGGGAAAACGCAGACAGGGCCACAGTTAGTGGACTGAGATGACAGCTGGGAAAACGCAGACAGGGCCACAGCTAGTGCACTGAGATGACAGCTGGGAAAACGCAGACAGGGCCACAGTTAGTGGACTGAGATGACAGCTGGGAAAACGCAGACAGGGCCACAGCTAGTGCACTGAGATGACAGCTGGGAAAACGCAGACAGGGCCACAGTTAGTGGACTGAGATGACAGCTGGGAAAACGCAGACAGGGCCACAGCTAGTGCACCGAGATGACAGCTGGGAAAATGCAGACAGGGCCACAGCTAGTGCACTGAGATGACAGCTGGGAAAACGCAGACAGGGCCACAGCTAGTGGACTGAGATGACAGCTGGGAAAACGCAGACAGGGCCACAGTTAGTGGACTGAGATGACAGCTGGGAAAACGCAGACAGGGCCACAGTTAGTGCACTGATGACAGCGGGGAAAATGCAGACGGGGCCACAGTTAGTGGACTGAGATGACAGCTGGGAAAACGCAGACAGGGCCACAGTTAGTGCACCGAGATGACAGCTGGGAAAATGCAGACAGGGCCACAGCTAGTGGACTGAGATGACAGCTGGGAAAACGCAGACAGGGCCACAGTTAGTGGACTGAGATGACAGCTGGGAAAACGCAGACAGGGCCACAGCTAGTGCACTGAGATGACAGCTGGGAAAACGCAGACAGGGCCACAGCTAGTGCACCGAGATGACAGCTGGGAAAACGCAGACAGGGCCACAGCTAGTGCACCGAGATGACAGCTGGGAAAATGCAGACAGGGCCACAGCTAGTGGACTGAGATGACAGCTGGGAAAACGCAGACAGGGCCACAGCTAGTGGACTGAGATGACAGCTGGGAAAACGCAGACAGGGCCACAGTTAGTGGACTGAGATGACAGCTGGGAAAACGCAGACAGGGCCACAGCTAGTGCACTGAGATGACAGCTGGGAAAACGCAGACAGGGCCACAGTTAGTGGACTGAGATGACAGCTGGGAAAACGCAGACAGGGCCACAGTTAGTGGACTGAGATGACAGCTGGGAAAACGCAGACAGGGCCACAGCTAGTGCACCGAGATGACAGCTGGGAAAATGCAGACAGGGCCACAGCTAGTGCACTGAGATGACAGCTGGGAAAACGCAGACAGGGCCACAGCTAGTGGACTGAGATGACAGCTGGGAAAACGCAGACAGGGCCACAGTTAGTGGACTGAGATGACAGCTGGGAAAACGCAGACAGGGCCACAGTTAGTGCACTGATGACAGCGGGGAAAATGCAGACGGGGCCACAGTTAGTGGACTGAGATGACAGCTGGGAAAACGCAGACAGGGCCACAGCTAGTGCACCGAGATGACAGCTGGGAAAATGCAGACAGGGCCACAGCTAGTGGACTGAGATGACAGCTGGGAAAACGCAGACAGGGCCACAGCTAGTGGACTGAGATGACAGCTGGGAAAACGCAGACAGGGCCACAGCTAGTGGACTGAGATGACAGCTGGGAAAACGCAGACAGGGCCACAGCTAGTGCACCGAGATGACAGCTGGGAAAACGCAGACAGGGCCACAGCTAGTGCACCGAGATGACAGCTGGGAAAACGCAGACAGGGCCACAGCTAGTGGACTGAGATGACAGCTGGGAAAACGCAGACAGGGCCACAGTTAGTGGACTGAGATGACAGCTGGGAAAACGCAGACAGGGCCACAGTTAGTGGACTGAGATGACAGCTGGGAAAACGCAGACAGGGCCACAGCTAGTGCACAGAGATGACAGCTGGGAAAACGCAGACAGGGCCACAGTTAGTGGACTGAGATGACAGCTGGGAAAACGCAGACAGGGCCACAGCTAGTGCACTGAGATGACAGCTGGGAAAACGCAGACAGGGCCACAGTTAGTGGACTGAGATGACAGCTGGGAAAACGCAGACAGGGCCACAGCTAGTGCACCGAGATGACAGCTGGGAAAATGCAGACAGGGCCACAGCTAGTGCACTGAGATGACAGCTGGGAAAACGCAGACAGGGCCACAGCTAGTGGACTGAGATGACAGCTGGGAAAACGCAGACAGGGCCACAGTTAGTGGACTGAGATGACAGCTGGGAAAACGCAGACAGGGCCACAGTTAGTGCACTGATGACAGAGGGGAAAATGCAGACGGGGTCACCGTTTCCTCCCTCTCTCGCCCAGGATTGCAGCAGGCAGTGATGAGCAGACAGGTGCCACCTGAAAGCCTGGAACCCGCGTGCAGCCCTCGGACGCCCTGCTCGGGGTTTGCGGCTGAAGGTAGAAGTACACTGGGAGATGCAGAGGCCTCTGGGCCCCCTCCCCCTTACTCTGATTTTCACCCGAACAATCAAGAAAGTACGTTGAGCCATTCGCGCATGGAAACGGGCGTCTTTATGCCTCGACCTCAAGCTGTGGGCTCTTCCAATTTCGCTCCCAGCAGCGCTGGACTCAAGCGTCCTGGACGCGCAGCAGACCTTCCTCCCCAGAGAGCGGCTGCAGACAGCGTGGAGGGGTCAGACGACAGCGACTGTGAAGATCTGATCGACCCTGCAGAGCCCTCGAATAGGGAACGCTCACACTCCAGGGATTCTCGGCCCGCGGCACAGCCCGACGGGGGCTCCAGGGACACGCAGACCTCCCAGATTTAACAGGCAGAAGACACTCTTCACTTAGCACTGTTTTCTTAATCACGTATTGAGAGAGTTGTTTGAGGATTTAATCTGGAGGGAGAACTGCTGGACTCCCGAGAGTCCCGGGCACAGCCTGGTAGAGGCCTCGCATCCACTGGCCTCACCCTTGGGTGCCGTGGGCAGGTTCATGACAGAATCATTCAGATAATCAAATTGTCCTAATTCTGGTGCGATTCATGGATATACTGGTAAATTTAGGCAAAGAGAAACTTATCAACATAGTTTCTGTTCTTTAAAATACATTGGAAATCAGAGACTAAGCACAATTAGTCTATAAATGTTCTGTAAATCAAAACTTACCTCTTGCACTATCATGCCTTGAAATTTACTTTCTCAAAGGGAAACGAGTTTAGCAGCAGCCTTCAAAGAACCTTCTTTCTATGATGAGCCAAATTCATCTTTGCCAGAAAAGAAATTTTGATAATTCCAAGAAGCCTGATTGGAACAAATCGGATGTACCTTCTCTCGTCTGCATGACTTTGTAAGATCAAAAGAGAGGGCTTTGTTTTAACCTTTTTCTACTAGCCCGATATGTATTGTCACTTAAAATGGTTGCCTTTAACAAAAACGTAGAAATACTAATTACCAGTAAGTAATCATCCAAATAAGTATGTCATAAAATAAACTACTTATTTTCTCTTGTGAAATTACAGTGACTGCTGTGTTGCACCAACCGCACTTATGGTCTCTGTTCTGGTCTTAGGTGAAGGACGCAACAGGGGGTCACAGCAGGGAGTTCTGCTCCAGACCCGGGGCAGAGCGGATTCGGCTGATCTCACGCAGAAGGGACAGAGCTCACTTAGACCATCTGACAGGTCCCACTGTTAGTTCTGTTTGTGGAGGAAAGATTTAGAGTCTTGGAGGAGAAAGATTTATTTTAAGTCTGAATAACCGTACTTTTCTTTAAGCTGCCACTGGAGGTAATTGCGGAATGTGCAGAGCGTTCCTGTTGGGGCGCACCTCTGTTTTTATTTAATTCCTGCTTGTTTTCCAGTTTTGCCCAGAATGTGTGAAACCACTAATGACGTTCAAGAGCATTTTAGGCTCCTGGTTTGGGAATGACAAGACCCACTGTGCAGGACAAGGTCAGCCCCGAGAACGCTTGGGAACATAGCTGCCTTGCCTGCGGATGAGCGAAACCTAGAACAAGGAAGCTGTCAGGGACTCGAAACCCAGGTTTTGGAACGTAGTTCCGCGGTGCAGGAGAAGTCTGCTCACTGAGCTCCAGCTCCAGTCCTGAGCTCGGCGCTGGACTGCAGAGAAAGGCTGAGACGGCCTCGGTGCCCGTCCTGAGGTCTGGGTTGTCCTCTCCTGTCTGCTGGCCTCGGCCAGTGCCGCGCTGCGGCCGTGTTCCGTTTGATCCGCCCCCGCCAGTGGCCTCAGCCCCGTGTGGATTTTTTTAAAGTGCCATTGCCATCTCTGTTCATGTTTTGACATTCAGGAATATATTTTTATTTCATGCCATACTGAAACCTACACTGTGTATCTGACAAAGCAGTTCAATGTGACAATAAAACTTATTTAATCATGGCGCCATCGTTCTGATGTCTGTCTCAGCACCCGACAAGGTCTGGCCTCAGTTTACCCTTTTTGGTAGTTCTCAGTAGACTTATTACAGGTTTTTAAAGGGCATCAAAATTCATCTCCGCATAGACTGTTTATGTGAGACTGGACTCGGGAAACCCAGGAACACAACTTACTGAAACATCCCTGTTGATGTCGAGGGGGAAGTGCTGAGTATCGAGTGACCACGAGCGCTGGGTGTCGGGAGGCTAAACCGAATCTCAGGCCGCTCCCCAGAGGCAGCTTCACGGAAGAGCTGATCTCGCTGGAAGAGACTCCGCAGCCCGGATCGCCGAGTGCATGGGGCGCTCCTCGAGTGAGGGTCCCAGGGTTCCGGGTCGCCTTGGGGCGGGGAGCTGCTGGCTGGCGTGGATTCTGCGTTCTCTGGGAGCCTTGCAGGAGCGTGATGCATCCCTTCCCAAGTCCAGGGGACGGTCTGTCTTAGGAGGGTTTTAAAATGTGAATTGTAGCCTTTTAAGAATCTACGCCACGTCTCTAACTGTTTGGGGAGAAGAAGACTGGATTCTTTTGACTTCGAAGTCTAGATGTGCTTAATTACATGTAATTGGCTTTTTTGGAGAAGGGTCAAAACATAAAGACAAATCTCATCCCCACACATTCAGACCCTGAGGATATATATTTAAAACTCCAGGCACAGCCCTGGCCAGTTTGGCTCAGCGGTTAGAGCATCGGCCTGCGGTCCGGAGAGACCCGGGTTCGGTTCCCGCTAAGGGCACGTACTTCGGTTGCAGTTTGTCCCCAGACCTGGTTGGGTCATGCAGGTGGCAGCCGCTCTATGTGTCCCTTTCACGTCGATGTTTCTCTCCCTCCAACTCTGTCTGAACAAAAAACATGGAAAAATGTCCTCGGGTGAGGATAAAATAAATAAAACTCCAGACACAGTATTGACAATAACGCTTTAATGAAAAGGTTTACACAGTCTGTGAATCCATACGTCAAGGTGGTCAAATGTCGAGGAATATAAAGTAAAAAGGCAGGAGAAGTAATGGTCATGAACGGTGTCCGGATCTGGTTTGCCTCGACCGTAGGTCTCATTTCAGTCACTAAAAGATCTTCCCTCTTTTACAAGGTTCCGCTTCATCCTTTCCCACAACAAACCTTAATTCTGCTGGACGGGGAGCCTGGAGGCAGCTGGTTCTGCAGGTGTGGCACTCATAAATGACAGAGAATGTTTATTTCCAACTTTGCAACAGAAAGGTTGGGGGAACGTTCTGGGAGTTAGCTTCACTGCCTGCCTTTTACCGTGATTTTTGTGGTTCCTAAATAAGGCAGGAGAGTCGGGACATAGAGTACATCCGAACTGGGTTACTCAGGGCACTCGGATCCCCAGAGGTCGGAGGAGGGGCAGCTTCCAGCACCGAGATGTCCTCAGGGAGGCGTCCTCTTGGATGCCAGATGCCACCCAGGATCCCGAGTGTCGTGCTCCGAGGGAGCTTTCTGTGTGTGCAGACTCAGCAAGAGAAAGTTCATGGCGGCCTTGTTCTGGTAGCAAAACCCTGGGAATTGATGGTAACGATAGAAGGATTGACGCTTGTTACACCCACAGAAGAAACAGACTGCAGCCACTGTACATGTGGAGTCAGAAAGATTTCTCGACGTGGAAGGCTGGTTGCCAGGTACCAAGAGAGGAAAGCCTGGTTTCTGAACAGGACATGAGGTGTGACCTGTGTGTAACTTTGCAGTTGGTAGAACACCATCGGGAAAGATATTCACCAGAGTGTCAACACTGTTGTCCCTGGGTCATGGCAGTGCGGGTGATTGTTGGTTTTTTCTACCGTGTACTCACATTTTCTCATTTTTTCTGCAGTGTGTTTGTATAAGGAAAGGATTCAGAACTGGTGGGCCATCGGCTCCATGAACTAGTTCATGCACACCACCCTAGGGGAGGTTCTGGAAACATTCTTGATTCTTGGGGTGTCTTCCCCACCACACTTCAGTTTTTCAGGTTTGTGGGCAACGTTAGACCAGCCTTGGCGCTGCCAACTTCCCTGTGTTCATGTTTGTCTTGTTTCCAGCTGAAACCATGTGCTTCGGTTTTGCTTTGCATTGACACGGCTTTTGTTTTTCCTTTATTGATTTGAGAGAGAGAGGAAGGGAGAGGGAGAGAGAGATGGAAACATCAATGAGAGAGAACATTGACTGGCCGCCTCCTGCACGCCCCCCACTGGGGATCGGGCCCACAACCTGGGCATGTGCCCTGACCGGGAATCGAACCAGCGACCTCTTGGTGCAGGGTCGACGCTCAACCACTGAGCCACACTGGCTGGGCTGGGTTTTTTTTCCCTAATCTAGAGCCAAGTCAACTTCTCTTACTTTGGAATCCATTTCCTAAATTTCTAAGAAGCACTTCAGAAATGCCTTCTGAGGTTGGAAGTGATTCAAAATTGGAGCACTTGTTGATGCTATTTCTCTCAGGCAACAGTGCCTACTACAAAATGGAATGCTGGAGTCTTAAAATATAGGAATGATTTCCTTGATCTTGCAGATAACTCTGCAAGGTTTGTGTGTTCTGCCTCCTCGTGTTCCCTAGTACGGCGCATTAGGAGGTGTGGACCTGTGATGGTCCAGCCCACACACACACAGAAGTCTGGGGAGTATTGGATTTCAAAGCAAATATATGCTTGCTTGGAATGTTTGCTGTGGCCAGCCAGTTGTGGGCACTGCTTGGTAGAGCTGGGGACCATTAGCCATTCATCTCGACTGATTAGAGACAGATGTGGTCTCGCGGTACTCAGATGTGGATCATCCAGAAGGCCTTTCAGACAGCTTGGGCTCTGGAAGTGTGGGAGGAATTCAGGGACAGCTAGTAACCGCTCTAGAAATAATACGGCCAGGGTGGATCCCTGGCATGTGTGTGGTGGGAAGTTAAGAGGGAGATTTTATACAACTAGAGTTTTTTTTTTTTTTCCCTTTTATTGATATTAGAGAGAGGAGAGAGAGAGAGAGAGAAACATCGATGAGAGAGAACATCGACTGACCGCCTCTTGCACGCCCCCCACTGGGGATCAAGCCCACAACCTGGGCATGTGCCCTGACCGGGAATCGAACCGGGACCTCTTGGTGCAGGGTCGTTGTCACTCAACCACAGTTGTACTCGTGGTTTAAAGCCCGCTGCAATGTCCCCTTCAGGAACACGTTCTGATTTACCGGGAAAGGTGGTACAGCCTCAGTACCTTGCTCAGACCTTGGGCGCCTTGCGCATGTCTTGGCTTAGCACCCAGCACATTGCACAGAGTTCACCTGTCTGCCTCCTCAGTAGGACGTGAGCCCTCGAGGGTGGGAAGAGGCATCCCAGAATTCCCGGCGCCAGCACAGGCTGGCACGGGGGGGGGGGGGGGTGTCAGTACACGCTCGCTGCTTGAATGTTGAATGAATGGAGAGGGACCCAAATGAAACTGCCCCGTCAATATACTTGTTCCTGAAGAATTAGGCCGTAAGAGAAAGATTATCGTCTGGAGAGATTACTCAAAAGAAGTTTGGCTTCTTGGAACTGCCCTGTACTGAAAACCTTGGTGAACGATTTCTTAGGCCAGGCCTGCTGCGCTGTGCTGCAGCTCGCCAGGAGAGGCACAAACTCAGCGCGTGCAGAGGCCAGAAAAGGAGCGGGAGCCGGGTTTCCGTGCAGCACCAGCTCCGCCCTGTCCTGGCTGTGTGGTCTTGTGAAGTCCCTTCGCCTTAGGACCTCCATGTTCTTACCTGTGAAATGGGCTTGAGGGTGATTCTGCTTGTCCTGACGGTGGCTGCGGGAATTGCTGGAAAACAAAAACATCTTTGCAATCTGGAAAGCACCACAGAGGCCATCACCCTGCATCCGGCCAGACTTCATTCTACTGTCTTCCTAGGTAAAGTGCCCTAAAGAGAGTTACACGCGGTCCCGTGGAGGAACCGGGAAGGGCCTGGAAAGCAGTCCCCTGAGCCTCGTTTCTTTCCGTGACTGGGTTTTCCTCCAAGCTCCAAGGCCAGGAGACGTCTGCCCGCCGCGTTCGAACCGGAGCCTGCTGTGCACAGCA